CCGCAAGGGATGCTTCTCATAAAGGATTCGGATTTCCTCCTTCACCGCTTGCCACTGAGCGGGAGCGGGGCCTTCACGCGCCTCAAGGTGAGTAGAGGAGGCGGGCGCCTGGGTGGAAGTGGTCGTAACAGGAGGTTGTTGAGCAACATTCTCGACGGTCCATCCATGAGGATTGCCCAGGCTCAGGGCCATTGACTTGTTCTTGTCCTGCTGTGCTCAGCGGTCATCACTGCCTAAAGCGAAGTTAGGATTAAAATCCAGGAGAGAAAAAAGCCGAACCGAGTCAGCTATCGAGGGCAGGGAGAAAGAGGGAAAAAGACGGGCTGGACAATTAACGAGGGGAGCCTTTTTTGTTGGCCTGGCCCTGTTCCCGGCTGGTAAACTCGGGTTGGTTCCAAGGGGCAAAAAAGAGAGAGGGAAAAAGGTAAAAAAGGGTAATTGTTTGCCTTGCGAGAAGCAGCCTGTCACAAAGGAAGTTCGACGGTCGACGAGGAGGAGGAGGACGAGGAGGGGTAATTTGGGATCTGGCTTTGGCTGGGGTGGCCCGTGGGCGCAGTGGCTCGTCTTCATGTGTCGTGGCCCTGGTTTTTCCCTGGTGGTGCTGGTCAGTTTGTGGTGCCCTGGAATGAGGGTATGAATGGGGGAATGAGAGACCATGCATCTCAACGCTACAGGCCACCAGGCCCCGGGTGGCTCAGGTGGCCCAGTTCCAAGGGCCCGTTGCATATGCAAAGTCCCTTCTGTAACCCAATCACCACCCATTCCGGTGACAGCGGCGTGGTTTTAGCTTGACACGTAGCCGACAAAGTAAGATTGCGGCCAAAAAACAAAGGCTGAAACCCTGGGCCCCCCCTTGGACCTTGGGACGGGAAGCGGTAGCTGCCAGTGCCTCCAGCCTCGGGACGGGTGGGGGGGGGATCATCATGACCAGTACGGGAGTAGAAGAAGATTGACAAGGTCAGAGAAGATGGACAGAGTGTGGAACTTGAAGAAAAAGCGCAGCCTCTCAGAGGGAACAAGGTGAGTTTTTAAATACTTAGAGGTTGCGTCACTGCGTCACTTGCTTCACTACTTCACTACGAGTCCTTCACCATCATCGGGCAACCTCTATCACAATTCTAGGGACTAAGGCCATGAGCCATGGCTTGACCGGCAATCTCTCTACAGGCGGCAATCACCAATAGTGAGCTTCCCCGCCCCTCGACCTCGCCTACAACCAACGACACTTGGCAGCCCTCCAATAATTAAATATTACTGTGGCTGAGAGCAAACAAACACCTCTTAAACTCTCAGAGAAGAGAGATCAATTCCAGGTACGTATATACAACGAATATGCTAACGAAGATTCGCAATCGCGACAATGATACCATAGCTGTCACCAAGCGTGATTCTCCCCTTGAGCAGCTGCGCCCTTGGTTGACACCGTTACCATTCACTGACCACTGACCAAAGCCCGTTGGCTGTCCCCATCATATCGGTCATATCAAGACTTGCACAAACAATACGATGCACACGTGATGGCGTCTGAAGGATCCCAGCTTCATTGGCCATCATCATATAATCAACCCCAAGGTTTGGCTTAATGGATGGGTAAGGCTCGGACCGAGATCTGACACGCACCATCTGACCAAACCATCCGTGTTGTGATGTCCCCAAAACGAAAAAGCCTGATCTGTCTCGGCATTATATTCCTTCCAATCTGTCACACCCATGGGATGAGAGACGAGGACGACAGAAACCAGCCCAAACAATTGCCGCTAAGATATTGGCCGCCATATCAAAGGGGAGCCCCACGACCAAAAAGGTAGGGAGGACTGAGAAGAAAAAAGAGATACAGCAGTCGAGCAAGATCGATCAACGGTAACAGGCAGCAAGGGGTAAGATTTCCCCCACTTTGGAAAGGCGATCAGCATGATAAAGGTCGATGAGAAACGTAGGTTTCTGTTGATGGCATTTGCCGCTGAGAAGGCTAAAGCCTTTCTGCCGCCTTGTTCGGTCGAGACAATAGGCAGGGGACTGTTTGGCGTCCTCCTCGTCCTTGGTCTCTAGCAGTATCGAATCTATAGGATAAGCAAATCGCCTCTAGTGCGCTATCATCAATGCTAACGACCAGATCTCCGTCCCGACGGGTCAAGCGTTGACGGTCGACGGTCTTGGGCACTCTGGGATCGAGGAAAGTCCTCTTTGGAGTCGGTCGAGCCTTGTCGCGTTGCTTGTGCAGGGAAGTTTCGACTTGTACCCCCCGCCTTGGCCGCGTCAAAGGTGTCAGGCCCGGGATGTGACGGCGGTTGCGGATTTGAAGGGCCACGACTGATCATAGACTGCTGGTAGGCAGGCGGCGGGTCAGATTCGTGCTGGGGGGTATGTGCATATCCTGCGGTTTGATATGCAGTCGGCATGTATTGTCCGGGTTGTCCAGGTCTCGGCGCAAACGTGGCCGTGTTCACCGTGATGTTGAGACTCGGCGAGGCTTGGTCGGGTCTTGATTGACCTTGATAGTACGGACTGGGGTTCGGTTGCATGTTATGCGGCTGGGAATAACCAGAATATTGGCCGTATTGAGGTTGAGGTTGGTGATACGCAGGTTGAGGAGAGCTGGCCGCCACATTTGATGTCGCTGTCACTCTCTCTTGTCGCCCGCCGTCAGCAGGCTCATTTGTTACGTCTCGTTTGACCCGAGGTTGCTGCGGTCGATTGGTGCCGCCTTCCGAGGGACCCTTTTTCGCCCGACGCCTGGCTGTATCCGATTCTCTATAATCGTACGGATCTTTTCTATATTCTCCTGCGACACAGAAATTTGGTCAACTTTTTTGCTTGTCATCTCTTGCTTCCCCAAGCGGAATGAGCCTACTGCTTTGTGTTTCCAAGTCCCAGTCTCTCGAGTCATTGATGAGATCGCGAATGCTGACCTAGACCATTCTCAGTATGGATTTGGAGGGGTATCGCACCGTGGGAGAGAAGGCTCTTACGGCATTGAGTGCTCTTTTCGCTAGGACGCTGAAACCAGTCCGTGATTTATCCTGATAATGGGGTCAGTTAAAGAGAAACCACCAAACGTGGACCAGGTTGGTCCTCACCGTGGGATGTTGAGCCGATGTAATCTTTGCTGTGCGATCGACCCATCGTGTGATGTAATCAACCAGGACTGCGGCATTGATGTTTTCGCCGGGGACAAAAAAATGTATGGGTTGAAGGTCTTCGTCGCTATCGTCAGAGTCATGGTCGTCGTCCCGCTTCAGCCTCTTGCCCGACTTCGAGGGTTGTTTAGGCATGATGGATGGTAGGTCAGAGAGGGACGTGGGCTAGAGGGACACGGATCACGGGAGAGGCTGTTCGCAGCGACACTCCGGGTCGTGATGAACCTCGGTCGCAACTCAGGCTAGCGGTACAAGGGAGAGGCACAATGGGAAATCGAATGAGCATGCTTGAAGAGATGAGGCGGATCCAGACTTCGATGGAAGGGCCAGAGAGAGATTAACCTGCAACACTCAAGAGGTGACGAGATGATGCCTGGTTTGGTTTGCGGCAGTTCAAAAATGCAGCCGCAGCCGATACATTCGCTGGCAGGTTGTCAGTTGGCCGGACGGGGGGCCGGTGATTGAGTGAGCACAGGCATGTGCAGTAGGAATGGGATGAGTTGTCAAGTAGGTTAAGTAAGAGCCCACTGGGTTCAGAGGTTCAGAGGTTTAGCCAACACGGGACAGGACCTGATTGCATGGGAGAACAGAGCAAATGAAAGGGCGAGATGCAAAGGCGGCGACTGAGACTGCGCGCTGCGAGAGCACCTGATGCCTAGTAGTGGGCAAGTCAGTGGCAGTCGGTGGCAGTCAGTGGTAGGCCAGGGCCACAGATCCAACTTTTTACCCCGCCGTCGTGCATCATCGTATTGTCTTTGCTGTTGCTCTGATGACTTGCCCTCTGATGTTATTCTTGCTCCCGAGCAAGTGTCCACTTCTCGAGTCCCTCCCAAGCTCCAAGCACCAAACCGGTCTCCAAGAACGTCACCCTCGGAGCGAGGTCCTCCGTGATTTACCGCGGCGTCATGATTGATGGCAGGAACGAAGTGGGAACTCTGAAATCTTTGGCGGGTGGTTTTAGCGATATCTCAGGAACCAATGTGGCAGCCGGTCGTTGGACGATGGAAGTTTGCAGACCAACCGTGAGGGGCAGTCAATCCCCAGTCCAGCAGTCAGAGACAAGAAGCAATCGGCCGATGGGGTCCCATGAGAAATAACCCGATGCAGTCAGTCACAGCATATATAAGCCGAGAGGCAGAGCTCTGACAGCCATTCTCTCGCGTGTAGAGATGCAGCGACCCAGGATTCTGCAGAGTTCGCAGATGGCAGAGACCTTTAGATGATCGAGCAGACGATAACTCGGAAAGTCTCAAAGTTTGGGGTCAAGTTCTCTCAATGCGACGCCGTGGGATGGTCGCCTTCCTGCCGAGTGTGGGGCCGGATAAACGACCGAGCAAGTGGAGGACAGATTGAAACTAGGGAGAGATTAGGGAAGGGATGGAAGAGGGGTGTCACGGGGTTGCCCAACAAGAGCCCGCAGTGGTAACAGTGTCTGGGCGGGTTGCTGTTGAGATAGAAACGGTGTATATATGTATATCACAGATGCGCACTTGTTCATGGCCGTTGTCGAAACAAGGTTGTCGCCATGTCAACGGCCCGACAGGCACTACCATGATCGATCTCTGACTGACACTCTGCAGCCAGCTACTAGTAGAAGCACTGAGCCTGTAACGTCTGGCTCACCGCCTCTTCTCGGCCGCAGGGCTTGTCCCAGAAATCTTGACTGGTTCGGCCGGAGTGTGACTGACAAGGTATGACATAAATTGAAACTAGCAATATGTGGATAGATATAGATGGAAAGGAGTGAGACTCATAATGTCGTGGTCCCTGAAAGGAGAGCCAGCCTCGTCCGCATCCCGAATACTAACCACCCACGCCACCCCTGTCTCTCGTGCCTCACCTCATATCCTCCTCGGCATGGAATTAGACCTGGGATGCCGGTAGTTGGAAACTAAGGTCCTGGGTCAATGGGATACTGGTGTTGATTGTGACGGCCATCGTTGCCTTGTCATACGAAAAGGTCGAGTTCGGAGCGCCATCGATATTGAGGCTCTGTGGTGCAGACCCAACATTACAAACGGTGATCCGCTCGATACTGACATTGACTGGATAGCATAGTCGCCGGACATGGAGAAAGCCCCATTGGTGTATGTGAAGTTAACAAATGTGGTGCTAGGTTGTTCAATCTTGAGCCCGTCATCAATGTAGAGCGATCCCTTAGCCGCCCCGTCCGTACCAGGTGCAATCAGGAGATGGAACCCTTTCTTTCGCAGCTCTGCTGTCGTGTTTGCACTCTCCACCCGAAGAGGGAGGATTGCGCCGCCACGAACATGGAGCGGGATGGTCGTGTAGTTGACGTTGTTCAAGGTAATCATCGACTCATTACCTCGCACTGGGATGAAATCATGGTTCCAGTCGTAGAACACATCATCAGGCAAATAAATACGCACAGTCGTCTTGTTCTCCGCCGTTACAGGAGAGACCAACAACGAATCCCCAAAGAAGAATTGGGCGTCGACTCCAAAAGTCTTTGCATCTTCAGGATAGAGGTAGAACATGGGGTTCAAAACAGGTTTGCCGGTCTGTGTCTGGGTCCAGAAGGCAGTATAAAGGTAGTCGAGAGCACGATAGCGAATATCAATCGCATTTCTTGATGCCTGAGCAGTGAGCGGCCAGCGGTATGCTTCTTGAGGAGGCTTTCCGAGCTCATTGTGGTTGCGATAGAACGTCTGAAAAGCCCCCAACATCATCCAGCGGGCGCACAAAGTCTCGGTGGTATATCCACCACCAAAACCGCAGACATCGCTTCCGACCATGGGCACTTGGAAGATGGAGGCAAAGTTCAACATGTCCGCGATACTGATCCCGTACTGGGCCCAGGTGGCTTGGTTGTCCCCTGTCCAGTGGCCGACATGAGCACCGGCGCCAAGGAAGGTGCTGCGAGTGATGACCAGGGGTCGCTCATCTGGACGCCGATGGAGAAGTGCATTGCGGGAAGCCGACGACATCATGGTCCCGTATATGTTGTGAGTGTCGTACTCTACAAGGCCATTGAAGTGAACGAGGTCCGTGTCCAATGTCTTGTTTGACAGACTACCGGCAGCATTCTGGATCATGTAAGGAGGGTTGATGAGCTTTCTGCCGGGAAGGCCTAGCTTGTTACCCGTCGCCGGTGCTTGTCGCTTTGCATTTGATGTTGGCTGCGGGAAATCAGCTGGAAATCCCGGAAGGGCGATTGCTGGACCAGTTCGCAGTGCCGCTGGCTTGGGAGGGAACCCCATCTCTCTGGCAAATGCGCTGGGGTCGGAGCATGGATAGTTACAAAAGCTGGGGAACAATTAGCAATCCCATGCAAAGTGACAGAACGACTCATACATACTTTGAGGCTTCGTTCATATCGATCCAGAGTCCCGAGATATCGACCCCAGTCTCCGGGCTGAAGAACGACGCAAACTCCGCGTTCCAGTAGTCTTGGGTATCTGGATGGAACCAATCTGGAAAGACCGTTGGGCCGGGCCACACAACGCCCTCAAATGGAGACCCGTCGGCTCTTTTCATGAAGACGCCCGAGTTGTTGCCGTTATTGAACGCTGAGTAGTTCTGATATGCGACTGCGGGGTCGACCATGACGATATAATGTTGCTGATGTGCGTGCAGATAAGAAACCAATTCGCGCATCTTGCGCAGAGGGAAGCGTTGTGGATCCAAAGTGAAGACTTTTCGCGCATCCTATCTCCCAGTCAGTGTCTTTTGGTATGAGTCCGGCGACACTACGTACCATATAATCAATGTCCGTCCACATGGTCTGCAGCTGTTAGCACATATCCTGGTCCACAGAAGGGTGTGCCTACCTCCAAGGGAATGTTGGCGGCGCTGTAGTTGTGCACAACTTCTGCAACCTCCCAGACGTCTTTGTACCCATATCTGCATTGGTGGAATCCAAAGGTCCAATACGCCATCATTGCGGGTTTACCCACAACTTCGGAGATCTGCTGGGAGACTTCAATCGGGGAAGGCCCTGCGAGGAAGTAGAAGTCCAAGACACCTCCGAGGGTGTTGTATTCAAGGTATTGGCCGGCGGTGTCATTGATCTTGATGTCCATACCATTGGAGTTTACGAACAACACCCCATGTGTGCCATTTGACCCTCGGTGATCAATGTACACTGGATGATTTCCGTACAAATTGGTGCCCTGGGGGATGCCATAGGCATCGCGAGACCAGAGAGTCCTAGTGTAATTGGACGTATTCAGCTTGAAGTGATCCGAGTGTTCACCAAGTCCGTACAGATTTGGGTGGCTGGGTAAAGAGGTCCGCAATCTCAGATACTGCGACTCAAAGACGATGGGGGATCCGGACGTGTTGAACAGAACCTCTCCTGAAGGCCGAGAAACAGAGAAGGTGAAAGGGTTCTCCGTGTAGTCAAACACAAGCTGAGCATTGGCGGCCGTGGTGCCTTCTGTGGCATTGGGGCGGGGAAGAACGGATTCAGGAACTTGATAGACAGTCTTGTTCTGATCCTCGATGATTACATGAAGCCTCGAAGCTTTCCCAGTGGATCAGAAACCATACTTGTATCGCTCACAGGACAACAGACATACCGGATTGATACTCCACAGTCAGGGTGAGGTTTCGCAGATCGGTGCCGTAAAGGTTACAAGCAGGGCCGGCGAGGTTGAGATCAGCTGTCAAGCCATTCGCAGTCTGCTGGACATTGCTGGCTCGGTAACCTGGGCAGGCTTTCTGAGCAACAGCCAACCCAGACGCACACAAGGCCAACAGGACGGGAGTCAACTTCATCTTTCGCAGGAGGAGATTCCGTGCAATGGATGGATAGACAAAGTCCAGGAGACGACTGAGCTCGAGCGAGTGCTCTGTTTAAGAAGCACAGAAAATTCTCCTCCCACCAACTGACCCCGTGGGCATTGTTCTTTTGTGGGAGCTGCATGAGCTGCTGCATCGACCATCACCACTTGCCGACCACAACGTCAGAGCTCGAGTCAAAAACCGTGGAGCTCAAGAGGCAAAAGGCTCTCGAGTCCACCCAGTCAAGCTCCAGCTTTACCCCACAGAGTCACATTTCGACCAGCCTGGCGCGGAGTCACGGACTGGAAAGGGCGGGTTGTAGATGATGGTATTCTAGGTGAGTGGCATCGTCAGAATCCAATGGCAAGAATGCGGTGCCTGACTAGAAGCTCCCGAAGCTCCCATGGCCTTGTCAAAGGTGCAAAAATGGTTAAATTGCGGAGGAAGAGGGACAAAGTGACATTGGGGAGAGCTCGAGTGCTACATTGCCAAGCGGTGACATTGGACCAAAATTCCCCCGAGAATTTTAACCAGGCGAGTGGAAGGATGGGGATGCTGATCACCAGGCCAAGTATTTCAAATGAGGAGGGGTCAGTGGAAGTGTGTGATCACAAAACATGAGACGAAAGCGTTGCTCCATGAGTTAAATCCTCCCGCAGCCACCTTTTGATCGGTGATATCATGCCTTGACAGCCTTGCGAGCCTCGGGCAAGGCTGCTGTTCTTTATACCCGCAACCTTCATTTTATCTCCGTATTCAATGTATCTTCAGTACGAGCCCAGCACAGGAGATGTCCTCGCGCCAACATGGTCAAGACTGTGCCTAGTGACTAACATGGAAAATTTATCATAATCTCCTTAGCGATAAGGTGGGCATCTCCTCTTCCTTGTTAATTTGAGCTACCAGCCCGGCAGTTGGCCGGAAACAACAACCCTTGACCGCAGTTTCGACTACATCCCACAGATCTACCGCCATATATAGTCCAACAGAGCTCCAACAACCCTGAGCTATGATGATGAGAAGACACGCGGAACGTCCAAGTGCTGACGACAAGACTTGAACGATGCTACACCTCCTCAACCTCCTGGCGCTCTCTCTCCTCCTTCCAACTCCCTCTCTCGCGCAGACAGCCCCAATCGATGTCCGCGAAGCTACCATCTCGAGCATCCACAGCTCTCTGTTCTCTGGCTTCACCACCTGCCGAGATGTGGTCAGCGCCTTCATCGCCCGGATCGAACACTTCAACCCGGACATTAACGCCATCATCACCCTGAATCCGGATGCTCTCTCGATCGCCGACTCGCTGGACCAGTCCCTGTCCCAAGGGAATGCCACGGGCCCACTCTTCTGCATCCCCATCCTTCTCAAGGACAACTACGATGCCCTGCCCATGCCGTCGACAGGTGGTTGTTTGGCTCTCAATGCCTCGAAACCGACTCAAGACGCGCCCGCCGTGCGGGCCTTCCGCAACGCAGGGGCCGTGATCTTGGGCAAATCGAATCTCCATGAATTGGCGCTCGAGGGCCTGTCGGTATCCAGCCTGGGTGGCCAAACCATCAATCCGTACGACTTCACTCGCACGCCCGGGGGGAGCTCAGGTGGTACGGGCGCAGCAGTCGCAGCTTCGTTCGCCGTGTTCGGCACGGGCACGGATACCGTGAACTCGCTACGGAGCCCCGCGAGCGCCAACAGCCTGTTCAGCTTCCGGCCGACGAGGGGGCTGATTTCTCGCGCGGGTGTCATCCCCATCTCCTACACCCAGGATACGATCGGTGCGATAGGACGTTCCCTGCCGGACATCGCGACGGCGCTGACTGTCATGGCCTCGATCGGCTACGACCCGGCCGACAATGTCACGTCGGCGATCCCATCCTCGGTCCTGGGCACCGACTACACGACGTTCGTCTCGCCGGGCAGACGGGCCAACCTCACGGGGATGCGGATTGGGGTGATCGAAGGGTTCTTCAACCGCGCGTCGAGCAACGAGACCACGCCGGTCAACGAGGCCATGGATCACGCCATCGCGGTCCTGCAGGGCCTGGGGGCCAGCGTGATCATCATCAATGACACGACGACGTACAACGCGACGGCCATCTCGGCGCAGATGGACGTGCAGACGTCCGAGTACCGCGAACTGCTCACGCACTACCTATCGAGCGACAACCTGACGGGGCCTCACCCGTTGACCATGCCCGCGCTCTACTCGCCCAACCAAACCACACCGGAGTTCCTGGTGATCCCGTCGCAGTACTCGTACGTGGAGACGGCGCTGGTCTCGTCGACGGGCAACGCGTCCTACTTCCTCAAGCAGGCGCTGATCGCCAACCTGACCCGGTCCCTGCAGGCCACCATCCTCTCCAACCAGCTCACCTGCCTCATCTACCCGGAGCAGAAGAACCTGGTCGTCCCCATCGGCTCGCCCAGCCAGTCCGGCCGCAACGGCATCCTGGCCGCCCTGACAGGCTCGCCTGTAATCACCGTCCCCATTGGCTTTTCACCCGCGTCCGCCACCGCCCCGATTGGCATCCCCATCGGCATGGAGCTGTTGGGCCTGCCCTGGTCCGAAGGCACCCTGCTGCACGTCGCCAAGGCCCTCGACGACGTCCTGCACGCCCGTAAGATGCCCGTGACGGCGGGACTGAACGCCACCGTCGAGCTCACAAAGGCCTACACCCAAGTGCCGCGGGTCGTGCCGCTCGGGGCCAAGAATATCGACAAGGCCGCCTATCCGCTCGGCGTGTACTGAGTCACAAGAAAGGTCCATCCATGTACATACGCGTAGCAACAATAGAACATAGTCTCGTTCTGTACAGAGAAAAGCAATTCAAAACAGCCGTGTCCTCGCACAAGATTCCGCGCATAAGAGCGTGTGCATATGTGGGTTCCTCTCTCTAAGTATATTGAGTGGGATTTAAACACAACGATTCTTTCGAATTGTCCAGACGCTTCATTGCTAGTAGTTCATCATCTATGTATGGATGCTCTCGTCATTGCCATGTGGTATCTCAAATTGCCATCAATCACGAAGAATGCCATCATCTGCCCGCTTAGCCCATGGATTTATTACCAGAGTCCAGCACTTGTAACCGCCAGGTATTTCATTCCGCATGTCGTTAACTCATCAACAGAGGGGAAATAAGGGAAGGTCATGGTCTGTCTCATCACTCTCTGCTCCCCTCACCCGTCGTCTGTTAGCCTGCTACTCGGCTGCCACCGCAGTTCCATCACCCTCCCTTTGTTGCCTCAGTTGCTCCTCGATGAGGCTCTGCTTCTTGACGTACTCAATCACAATCTCTTCTTCTGTTCTTTCTTTCGTAAGTTCTTCCTGTCGCTTCTTGTCTTCCTCCTCAGACGCGGTTATTGCCCGCTGTAACTCCTCGTCATTTTCATAGTGATCGGCTGTCGCTCCTGTGGCGGATGTACCTGGCGCCGCATGTCCATTTGTAGCTGTCAGTGCGGCCTCACGTTCTGCAAGCCCTTTCTTCTTCAGTTCATTTTCCGTATGCAGTTTCTTGGTCTCCTCAAGTTTGCGCACGAAATCTTCGTCGTAGTCAGTGTCAATTCCTGAATCACTGTAATCCAAATGGTGGTGATCTTCGGGGGCTAAAGCCTTTGTAGTTTTGGTCTGATTGTGCTCTTCCAGACTCTGCGCAAGTGCCCGTTCGAGTTCAGCGTCATGCTCTACCTCTGGCTTCTCTGTGCTCTTGGACGAGGCATCACTCTGTCGAGCATGTTCTTCTTGAGCCTTCTTGAATTCTCGAATGCTAGCTTGAATGGCTTGCTGGTATGCTGCATCAGAATACTTGTTTGGGTCGTGACCCGAACTGTGCAGCTCCCGAAGACTCGCTCGCAGCGCCCTTTCAATGACTGCATCTTCCAAAGGATTGCCTTTGCTCGTCGAACTCACGGAATGCTTAATTGCGTGCTCATAGTCGGCCAGGATATTATCTTGCGACTGCGACGGTGTGCTCTCATGGCTAAGGGAAGATCCCAGACTGGAGAGAGAGTGGCTGTGCTTGAGATGGTGACTGGTGTCATGGTCAAAGGGACAAAATTTGCACCGGCTTTTGATCTTGCCATTCTTCCTCTCTTCCCTTTGAATTTCTCTTTCACGGCGTTGCAATTCCTTCTCTTCCTTTCTCAGCTGGTCCCTTCGCTCGGCAAGAGCCTTTCTTTCGTCCCAACTAAGATGTCTAGTATTTCGGAATCCGTGAACCAATTCAACGGAATCCGTGTTGGTCCTCGTGATAATGTGGCTTTCAATCGCCACCTTGCGATCATTTCCGTAGAGTTGTCCATGTTTCCGGGTTTCCAGCCTGCCATCCTTCCAGGCGGTAACAATTCGTTGTCGTTCCTCGGGAGAACTGTTTTTCCAGTCCTCGAATCCTTGCGCTGTTCGAGCCGCAATGATATAATTCTGTACGGAGCTTCCAAAGTGCTTGGAAATCTCGCTGTAGATGCCTTTTGCGGTGTAGCCAGGGAGGCCCCAAATGCCCGCGGCCGGTTTGAGAACCAGACCGCCGAGACCTTTGGCTGCCCCCTTGAAGAAACCAGCTGCGCCCTCTTTCTTCGCCCCTGCCAGTGGCTGGGTGACGAGACCTGTGATACCGTCGTAGAAGCCATAGCTGAACTCTTTGCGCGCCACTCGCAAGCCGGAATGAAGCCCAACGATCTTTTCATTCTGTCGTACCGTGTCGTCTCCATATAGCTTCGGTGCATTGTGGAACCCCTTTGCCAGGGACAATGTGAAGTCCATGGGTGATTTGACGCCAGCTGAAATGATTTTACCCGCAGCTTTAGCTCCAGAGATTGCGGTGTCCAGTGAGACTTGCCCAACCTCTTCGCCGACACAGGACTCACGACTGTCGTTCGCTGCCGGCGAACCAGAGCGAGATCGGGATCGATGGTGAGTCAAGCTATGGTGCCGGTGATGATGGGAAACTTTAGGCGATCCATCTGCGCTCAAGACTGTAGACAAGGACGAAGGTGCCGGCACTGCCGTGGTCCCTGACGAAAGTGACGGTTCAGACTGAACAGGCGTAATCGCCCCAGAGGTCGAACTAGCGACTTCAGAAGAGCGTTCCAAGGGCACAACAGGCGTGGATGTACCACTATTCGAGCGTCTTTCGTGGATTTCTTTCAATTCTCCCGACGCTGTCTTCAGAGACTTCAGGATTTCGACGGGGAAGTCTGCGATACCCATGGAAAGATTTCCCAGAGTCCCAATCAGGGCGGCTGCACCACCAGATATCGGCTCCCATGGGCCGTCCTCTGTCTCATACTCTCGAGGTCGGTAAAGCTTCAGGTCCGAGAAGTCCAGCAGACCTTCCGTCCCTAGAACAGTGGCTGCAAGTGGTGACAGCCGGATATCTGTTCGTTTCACACGCCAGACTGCAATTCGTGACGGATCCAGCGAGCATCGGAGGTTCGACATGTGCAACTGCTTATGAAACGACTGTGCGCCAGCTTCACAACCATCTTCTGCCTTAATCTTCGTGCTTAGCTCCTTTGCGCGCTCAAGCGACTCGGGCTTTAATGCTTCCAAGATCGAGTGTGCGAGCTTGTCGGCATTCAAATTCTTGTATGCAATGGGCATGGGACCTGCTCCAGCTCTGGCGGTCATTGAGCCCCAGAATGGTTGATCGCCAAAGAATGGGACCACCACTGTCGGTCGACCGGCTAATATACCAGCGGCAGTTGTACCTGCACCACCGTGATGCACAACGCACGACACATGTTGAAATAGCCAATCGTGAGGGCAGTTGCCAATCATGAAGACGCCTTCAGGTATTCCCAACTCATTGGCCCCGAGCCCGCCCCAGCCTTTCGAGACTATCGCTCGCTGGCCCGTCTTCTTGATGGCATCAAATATCATCTTGGTCATGGCATTTGGATCGTCCACCACGATCGAGCCAAATCCAATGTAGACAGGAGGTGGCCCAGCAGCTAGGAAATCTGCCAAATCCTGTGGCGGCGTATAATTCGTGGACAGATTTAGGAAGAAGAACCCCGAAATGTCGATATAACTGCCCCAGTCTGCTGGTTTTGGAATCAAAGCCGGCGACCAGCAGTACGTCCATGGGATGCGCAATCGGCTGACCATACCGGGTGCCCACATGATACTCACGGGTTCCAAGCCGAGACTCCTTTCTCGAAACCTGTTGATAACATCTCCTAAACCCTGCCAGGTCAACATATCTACCAAGGCGTAGGTGACAAAGTTTGTGATACTGGCGTCAGTATTTGAAGAGATGATGTTGGCGAGGGGGTGTGGGAAAGACTGCGTTGGCGACCAAGGCATGGTGAACATCAGATGAAGTGGAATGCCCAACTTCTCTGCAATATGCACATGGGCGAAACTTGGGGGGTTGGCAATGATTGCATCTGCGACGAAGGGCTTCAAAGTCGGATCTATGCCGAAAGACACGGCACTGTCAAAGCTGCGCGTATCCATATTGTCATCGCTGACCGGCGTGCCCATGCCGTCCCCAGCTTCGATACAGGATCTCCAACAACCCGTGACGATTTCGTAGATTCCTTTTCGTCGCTTGCCCACGTCTCCGCTTTTGAGCGAGTCCATGCCCGGCATGAGGCCTGGATTTTTGACCATGAATGCCATGAGTTCTGCCGGGTCGCCCCCTATGCTGAAGAATTCCAGACCATTCTCGGTGACGAATTGTTTGAACGTGGGATGGGTGGCGATTCTGACGCGGTGCTTGTATTTGTTCTTCAATACCTGGCCCAATGCAACAAAGGGCTGGACATCTCCCCTGCTGCCCACGATCTGAATCACAATGTTCATCGGTGGAGGGGGTAGGCCGTCCACATCTCCCAATCCCTCAGGAACCGGGGGCTCTGGTGGCGGTTTCTGCCTCGACAACTCCAATTGACGGCGCAGCGCAGGCAGAAGCAAGCTCGTGAGCTTCCCTTTGTGCTGGTTGATATTAATATTGACTCGACCATCACTGGCTATCCGTGCGCCCGTGTCAAGGCCATTCTGACTGATGTCTAGTTGCCCATACTCGGCGCCATTGTATGCTGGTGGAGGGACATCCTCCAGGTGAGGAGAGACGCCGCCATGATGTCGTACATGCCCTTCCGGCGATGAATTGGACACATTCGATTGTCTTGCACCGCCAGACGCCTCCTCTTGAGCAGCTGCAGCCGCAGCTTCCGCTTCTTCCAGGATGATGGGAGGGATAGGTTCGCCTTGTCGCGGCGGGGTAGCAGGGGGATCTGAGTTAGACATTATCGCACCTAACGAGACATTGAGGATGTGTTAGGAAGATACGAAGAGGTAGAGACACCACTTTGGGCACAACGAAGAGGAAAGGACAGCAGCAATCAGAGGACGCAAGAAATAGGCAGCCGGTGACGGTGAGAGAGACTGGGTCGTTGTTAGGGTCACTTGGGTCAGGTGGGCATGGGCGGTGACAGAGACGTAATCACTGCTATGGATGATGGCACAGGAAGGAGAAGTTAGATCTTGAAGGTCGCCAGGTTAAAGAGTATATCATCACTTTTCCCTGTCTGTGTCCAGCGCGCAGGCGACATCATTGTCAGGGTTCTGCAACTTTGAAGCGCGAACCACCGGAGGAGGTATGTTGAACTAACGCCGGTTCGTAACTGGGCTGGAAGACACTTGACCGGAGCCAGTCACTGCAGGCTTTCAGCTAAGCTAGAACAGGGCCCTAGAAGGTTTAGTTTAGGTGGTTGAGTGGTCGAGTCTGGGGGGGTTCTTTACCCGTACGTAAAGGCGTTCGGGCTTCGGGCCAGCCCATTACGAGTAGGGCAGCCCGAGCCAGGAATGGCCAAAGGGTTCATCCCCTCATCCCCTCATCTTCACTGTGGATTGCTGAATCAGCCACGATAAGAGTCAGCATCGTGTTTCTTATTCCTCTTCCAGCAATTAGTAGATGACTTTCCTCTACCGTCCCACACTTTTTGCGCACATCTATTCCGAGCTGCGTTTGCTCTTCTCCTCTGCTAATGTAAGTAACTCACATAAGGCTGAGAGAGCTACTGGACGCCACCATCTACTCGCAGCCCGTCGCAGCCACTTGATCACCGCCCAGAGCTGAGGTAATGCTAGGTAATCGACACCTATACTCGGTATATTGAATTCAATATCCTATCCAGGTTCTCTACGAGCGTTTCTGTTTCCAACTCTGGGCGACCCCTTCCATCGTCTCGAACGTGATCTCGCCGTCCCCTGCTGCCTTTTGCCGTTGCACGAGCTTTCCAATGAATCGATCAATCATGCCCACGATATGTGCCCGACCCGCACTTTCAGGATGCCAGATCATGCTACAAAAGGTCGATCCTGTGATTAGCATATTGCCTCTAGGGGGTTGGTTCGCTTATGGAAGCAGCATTAGTGTCACTTACGGATACACCGCGCCGTAGCCTTTCCCAGGCCCTTCATCCAACCAACTTTCATTCTCCCATAGCCATTCGAACCTGTCCCACCACATCTTTTCGACAAGGTCGACTCCAACGTACCCTTGTGTGTTGGCTGCATAAGGGTAAAATCCAAGCTGATGAGAGTCAGGACAAGATTCATTACATGGGACGCAGGGCACTTACAGGCGTCATGTCCTCTGTATACCAGCTCGAGGGTATCTCCACCAGAGCCTTGTTGGCTTCAGCGGTGCCTGACTGTGGCTGTTCGGGTATTTTGGTGGGGACCATCCAAGTGCTGGCCTCTTTCTTATAGTCCGGGACATGCGGTGGTTCTTGTGGAAAGGGGTTCACCAGGAAGTAAGGCAAAGAGTCGTGGGCGTTCATGCTACTGTCGTAAAGAAAGTCGTGGTCTTGGAGGAGCTTGACAGTCGTCTCACGGATTTGGTATAGCGGTGCTCGATATCCAACTGGTCTCTTACCTTGTCTGAGCTCGCTTATCAGGCCGATGCATTTCTGCAAAACATCCTTCTCCTGTTGAACGGTCATTGCATATGCCCCCTCGTGGCTATATCCATGTATTCCGATCTCCGCTCCGCTCTCAGCAATCTCCCGTGCTTGCAATGGGAACGTCTCAAGACTGTGACCGGGGACAAACCAGGTGAGTTTATCGGAGATGCCGTGTTTCTTGAACAGGCGCAGCAGTCTGCCCACCCCAACGTTGGCGCTGAAAATGCCGGCCGAGTAGTCGGAGAGGGTATTTTGGGGATCATGACCTGTGCCTAGATAACCTGAAATGGCGTCAAAATCAACAGAGAGACAAATGCGGATTCGTCGTTTTCTTGTCGCTGGAGTCGCTGGAGTCAAGGAGGCGGGTATGGTGACCATCTGGAGCGTGGATTCCTTTTTATTGTTTCCCAAGACTTGCTCCTCTCGCCAGATGATCCGGCCTTCCATCCCACCGTCGACGGAAATGCATTCTCCGGAGATATGGCCAGCTGCACGGTGGCTAGCCAAGAATGCCATTGCCCGTGCTACGTCTTCGGGCTGTGCGATCTTCTTCAGTGCAACCGTCGCTTGACATTCTGCCCACATCTCCCTCGGATCGTCCAAGCGATCACCAATGAGAGAGGTATTCACCCATCCGGGTGCCACGGCATTGATCCGGGCTTTGGAGTTTAGGCGAACAATTTCGTTCTTCACTGTGCGAACGAGACCGTATTGGAGGCCCGCCTTGCCAGATGCATATCTGCCAGAACTTTAGCATCTTCTGGAGGAGCTTCTTGAAATACCTGTCGACTCACTCTGCATGTCCTTCTTGGCCAAACTTCCCGGTCTCGGAGCCAATGATGACAATGGAAACATTGTCAAGTTCAGCTCCCTTTGCCTCTTGTGCCGTCTTCACCGAGAGTAAGAAATGCTTGACCGTCAGAAAAGTGCCCTTGACGTTGTTGCCATTGACCTATCGTGACATGAGCAAAAGGTTCTAGGCCATACCCCCTCGAGAAAATTTCCAGACCTTGTCCCACAGACTCTCCTTTATTTCCCATATCGGTGGATGAGAGCTTTCGTCCGTGATACCCGCGTTGGCTATCAAGATATTGAGTGCGCCAAAGTGGCCGGTCGCAGCTTGGAATGCTTCAGCGACAGACTTTTCAGACGTCAGGTCACCTTGAGTCGTGAAGAGCCTGGACGACTGCTCTGGAGATGAACAAAGCGTTGATTTATCGATCGATCTGCGGTCAAAGGCCGTGACACGACATCCAAGAGCTGAGAATGACTATCAACACGCCGTTTTCGAAGCATATACTTCTTGCGAGAGCTACCTACCGAGAAATTCTTTTACCGCGGCACCTCCAATTCCACCAGCTGATCCGGTGACGAAAACATGAAGACCCTCGAGTCCAAGAAACGAGCTCGAGCCTTCAGCCATATTGGATGTGGGCGTTTACAGCAGCCTGGTTGATGATCCTCGTCCTGAGGCGCACAAAGGGTATGCGTGAATTTGACGCATATCCCATCGATGTCTCAAGCGGATATGTGCGTCCGGCACTCGAGGCTGAGAATGTGGAGGTGACAAAGACGTCTTAGTCGTGGTCGTTGCCCCCCAATAATAACCTAAGATACCGCCATGGACGCCCATTTGATACAGCCCAATATCGAACGGCTTGTCGTCCACTCGGCGGGGAAAGTTTCTTCTAAGATCATACCACAGCTGGTAGTGGTGGAGGCCAAATAGTCGGTGCTTGGCCTCGTGGATGTCCAGGATTAGGGCTTTTTCCTCCTGCCTCATCAAATTTAGCTGGTTTCGAGAAAGAAAAAAATGGAGATGGAGTGCCTGACGATCGATTTCTTACTTGACATTATTTGGTGTCAGCTATCTCTCTTTCCGCACGATTCCCTATCTCGACTCCTGGTTCGAATTATCGCTTGTTTCCAATTTTGCCAATCGAATCCTGGAAGTTGTCGCCCTCGTGGCTCGGCTGGTGATTGAGAGACAAAGCACCTGGCCAGGCCAAGGATCGCGGACTTGAGCTCCCTACTGGCTATCATCCGGTATCTGTCCCCATGCGCAGATCCGAGTTCCCTTGCCATCAAAAACATGGCAGATGTGCTGGGCGAGATGCGCCTATCAGACTGCCTATCTCCCAAGGATGCCGATAGAGTAGTCGAGTACCAGGTAATATATATCAGCCTGGAGTTTCTTGTTTCCTTTCTCTTTCTCTGTTATTTTTTGGCCCCAAAGAGCCTTTACAGTAAGTGACAAGCACCAATATGGCGACCGTGGGTGAAAAGAAAGACGCCATTCCAAGCGAGGTCGCGACTAGCCCTCCATCCGACAATACAGATAACCCAGAAGCGGGTGTTTCTGAACTTATCAATGCATCTGGTCATGTACAGGAACTTGAACGAAACTTCAGCCTTCTCGCCGCTGCTGGTGTGGGACTCGTAGTCGGCACTGTCTGGCCCGCTGTCGGAGGGTCAATCCTTGTCGCTATCTTTAACGGCGGCCCTCCCGGAGTCATCTACGAGTTCATCGCAGTTTCGGTCTTCTATTGGATAGTGGCGGCATCTTTGGCAGAGTTGGCTTCAGCTATACCTTCCAGTGCCGGGGTTTATCATTGGGCTTCAGTCACTCCAGGCAAGACATGGGGTCGCGTGGTTGGGTATGCTCCATCTTTAAAGACTTGGTTGAACCAATGAGCTGACCGTCTGGATGAACAGATTCTATGCTGGATTCTGGAACTGGCTGGCCTGGGTATTTGGTGCAGCCTCGATGAGTTCTATCCTTGGTTTGTGGTCCGTCCTGCTGTTGAACGGCATAAATGCTCATAGTCTCCAGCGAACACATTTGTGCAGATGTATGCTCTGGACCACCCCGACTTCATTGCGAAACGATGGCATGTCTTTGTGACATACCTCGTAAGTCAATTACTGCCACCAAGGCACCGCCCTACAAGGCCAGCACCGGCTAATGATGATTTAGATCGTAACGTGGATTGCATGCTCCTGCGTGTGTCTATTTAACAAGGCGATGCCGTATTTGAACACCGTCGGCATCGTCCTTCTCTTATGCGGTTTCCTAGTCACGATTATTGTCGTGTGAGTCTCGCTATCGATCTGAGAGAAAGGGATCAAACTGACCATTTCCAGCGCTGCAATACCGGGATCGGGCAACCACCCACCACACGCCTCGTCTAGCTTCGTCTGGAGCGAGTGGACTGCAGATATAGGATATCCCAATGGATTTGTCTTTGTCGCTGGAATGTTGAATGGCGCATACTCTGTCGGCACTCCGGATGCTGTGAGGTTCGTTTAATCAGCATAGAGTACGACCATGAGATATATGGGAAACTAATCTTACGCTGCAGTCATATCGCCGAGGAGGTCCCATATCCTAGCAAGAACATCCCAATCGCCATCGGCTTACAAATGAGCATTGGATTCGTCACTGGAATCTGCTACATTATCGCGCTCGTAAGTTCTCGATCTACTTGGCAGTCTGTTGTCTGTTGTTGCTGACAGATCAATTGCAGATGTACGCAATAAGCGACTACGATGCTCTGTTCAATGCACAATTCCCACTTGCCGAGATTTATCGACAGGCCACTGGTTCGGCTGGCGGTGCCATTGGGCTGTTGTGTCCCTTCCTCTTCTGCATCGCAACCTGCTTGGTGGGAGTATACATCACGGCAGGTAGAACACTATGGACGCTCGGCCGAGACAATGCCACTCCCTTCCCTCAATACATTGGAAAGGTATCCAAGAGGTTAGAAATGCCTCTGAACGCCACTCTTGTGTGTGGCTGTCTGGTTACCGTGCTGGGCTGGTGAGTGTTTTTGTCCGCATTTTGTGATCTTAGCTAACGATGGACGATGCAGCATCTACGTCGGGAGTGCTACGGCCTTCAATGCATTCGTGGGGAGTTTCGTCCTGATGTCGTCGGGAAGGTAATTCAAGAAATCCACCAAACGCGATATGCGCGACCAGATTCACTAACACGAAAATAGTTACATCGCAGCAATCCTGCCTCACCTCCTGACTGGCCGCAAGAACATCAAATTCGGTCCGTTCCACCTGGGAAAATTCGGTGTCGCGATGAATACGATCGCGTGCGGGTACATGATCGTGTGGTTCGTGATATACTGCTTCCCCTTTGCTCTGCCCACGGACGCGGAAACCATGAACTATGCCTGTTTGATCTGGGGAGGTCTGACGACTTTTGTCACGGCGTGGTGGTTGCTTGGTGCCAGAAAAGACTATGTTGGACCCAAGCCGGCTGGAGGTGTCGAACACGAAGTTGAGCACATGAGAAGACCTAGCAGCGTAGAGAAGCGAGCCTCAGTCTAGATGTTGGTATTAGTATAGATAGTCTTTAATCTTGTTGCATTACCAAATCGAGTTGCGTGATAAGATTTTGATCGTGGTTCTTGAATGGTGTGAATCGCTTACCTAGGTATGTAGGTGTGCAGCCACAGTAGGGACCTGACAATGCGTATCGTGCTATTCCACTTTCGGCAAAGTGCGGATTTGTCTATTTTGCACGTGACCAAGACATCTTGGCAAGAATTTATCCCACAACTAAAAATCGAGCCTCCACAAGATCGCAGCAGCACGAGTGATCCGTCTCAAACTCGACAAGTCCACACAAAATCAGCTCGTCAACATGTCCGACAACGGCGAGGTTGAAGTCGAAAACCCAACCTCAGGTTGGCCCGTCCTGCCCAAAGATGTCATGCAAGAGATTGGGAGCGTGAAGCTCTTCGGGCGCTGGAGTTATGAGGATGTCGAAGTCAGAGACATCTCATTGACGTACGAAAAGCCCATTTCCGGACACCGATGACAGCGCAGGAAAGAAGAATAACTGACAAGATCATCTGTTGAACAGCGACTACATCCAAATCCGATCCCCCGTCTACATCTCGCACTCCGCGGGTCGATATGCCGCAAAGCGTTTCCGAAAGGCACAATGCCCCATCATCGAACGCCTGACCAACTCCCTGATGATGAACGGTCGAAACAACGGCAAGAAGCTGATGGCTATCAGAATCGTGGCACACTCATTTGAGATCGTACGTGTTGTTCGACAATTCCAGAAAAATATCTATACAGGAACGACATCTGACTCGATTTTTTCGTCTCTTTAGATCCACATCATGACCGACCAGAACCCCATCCAAATCGCCGTCGATGCCATCGTCAACTGTGGCCCTCGTGAAGACAGCACCAGAATTGGCAGCGCCGGTACAGTCCGAAGACAAGCCGTCGATGTGTCCCCTCTCCGCCGTGTCAACCAGGCCATCGCCCTGCTCACCATTGGCGCCCGCGAAGCCGCATTCCGAAACGTCAAGAGCATTGCCGAGTGCCTTGCCGAAGAGCTGATCAACGCTGCCAAGGGAAGCAGCAACTCGTACGCCATCAAGAAGAAGGACGAGTTGGAGCGTGTGGCCAAGAGCAATCGGTAAAGCGGTTAATGGGATATGGATGGTTGTTACCTCAAAGATTCGGAGATCACACATGGTCCTACGACTTGCATTTCGTGGCAGTCACTTCAAGCATGTCGATGATACTGTAGTCATCGTCCGCTTTTGGGGAAGGGAGGGGAGCATCAATCGAAAGTTTAGCACACGCGCGGCTGTCCCATGGGATTAGCAGACTTGCAGATTCAGCGCATAGATGATGCCGAATGTCCACAAAAATTTCGAAATGGCATGAACGTTTTGACGATGTGGAGTTCATTTCTGTTTTACTGTTCGGCCCTCTTTGTTCGAGTAAACGATGACTAACTGTGCAGTTCTGTCCGTCTTTTCAGCTTTGCACGTGTTACGGCCACAGCGGGATTACAGCCTGTTTTTCAACAAGGCGATTGCAGGTGAGTTTTAAGACAGAAAGTACGACCGGGGATATGATGAACCAAGTTCAGATCGCTGGAATCTCGCTATAAAAAAAACTATCTTTCGCCATGTACCCATTTCCTCTCAATACCATGCACGCATTCTTCCACCAGGTCAGAGGGTATCCCTGACAAGGTATATGGATTCTCTGAAACCGAGCAGGTTTCTTCGACTTTTTCGTTGCCGTTGTTGTCTATATTTGACTTGTCCCTTCTCTGTGCCGGTCGATTTTCCTTGGTTTGCTTGTCACCTGGCACGAGTCGTCCAGGTGTTCTGCGTTGGCAAACCGGGCTGGCGCTGAGGGGTGAGCATCAATTTGGAAAACCGTATGGACTTGAGGAAGTTGTTCATTATTATCCCAAAGGTCCCATTTCTTGATCCTTTTCTCTAACGTCCCCGCTTCTCTGCTGAAAAGCCTCAAAGAAGTATCGGAAGGGGCCTGCCCTCGTGATCTTGTACCGACCGGGTAGGGGTTTTATATCTCTCGAGGATGGCGATGTGAAGGCCTGACTTCCCCAAAGAGCTGCATCATGTTTCTGGAGCGTACCTCCCTCATATACGCTTCCTGCTCGGGTAGCTTGACGTTGAATTTCCCTTCGTTCGGATCTTGCCCACCGAACAGCCTCTGGAAGGCAAAGCCCATGGTGACGAAAGCCGCAGCACCTATGATGACCAACAGGACGACAATCTGATCCGGGATACCCATGGTGAGTTTATTCCTTAGATAGAACGCGAGTCGAACAAAGAGGCAATAGGAGCAGAGTTGATTGCTTGTGATGTTGTGTTGGGCGGACTTTGGTCTTTACTCTCAGCTTTGGACGAGTGAGTGGTTTTGGGCTAGCGACAGGAGATTTGTCAACGTATAAGTACAGAAAGAGATGGTGTCGACAACTGGAGCGAGTGGAAGTATGCAACTGCAGAAAGAGAGAGAGAGAGAAAGAAGCCTGTTATTTGGACACCGCAGGTGTGCCCATCGGATATCTGTCCTTCATATATACCGCTCGCAAGCGCAATTTCAATACGCGGTGCCATGGCGAGTGCCATCAAGCGCACTGTCTCAGAGGGTGGCAACCCGTCCTTTTGCGGTCCATGCATTGACAGCGTGCAAAACAAGGTTGGATGCTTTTCATTTTGAATTACTATTCCTGCTGAACCAAGGCCCTAGAAGCCAGGGCCCGTTGATATCGAAAGCCTAAAACAGGAAAGCGCCAGTCCACGCGCTAACCTGGTTTGATCGAGAACCCGAGCGAGTCGAATCGTCAAAGGTGCTGGAGATCCACTGAAGTCTCGGATATCCCACACGACCCCCCTTGGGAGCACAAGGTTGGGAGGACCGCAAGTTCCAGCGCAGGTTCGTACAACCGGACCAACTGCGGATTTATTTTGGTCTGACCAGAGGTTTCGGCTGATTTCAAAGACGTTCAGGGGAAATTCATTCATGTCAGACTCTCCATTGAACGGGCTTGTGTGTTCCCACGTTTGGTGTTTGGGCTCTTTGTTCTCGTTCCTTTGACACCACAGCCATTCTCCCATGCTGCTGAGCCAGACTGTTTCTCCAGTAATTAATTGGTCGATTGCTGTCCAGACTGCGCACGCCACCCCGATGAGCTCTCGTCGAAACGGTCAATCAAAATCCAAGACTGGATGCTTGACCTGCAAGTAAGTTGTCATGGTTGTTGTGTTGCGTACAATTTTTCTCGGCCAGTGTACTGATCCATCATATAGGATCCGTATGTCTCCCTTTTCCATGACCAGTCGGCATATGGCGTGCAATCTTGCTGCTAGAACTATCAACAGCCGTGCAGACTAACAGTCGAGTTCCAGGTAAGATTAAGTGCGACGAGTCGCAACCATACTGCAGAAAATGTACCGAGACAGGTCGAAAGTGCGAAGGTCCTGTCGGTCGCCACATTCGCTTTGCGGAGGATGAGATATCGCCTCCGAAGCATCACGCCCTGCTAGCTGAGCTCTCCCTGCACACACCACAGCGGAGCCATGATGAACGGTGGGCCTTCAATTATTTCATCTGGCGAGCAGCTCCAATATTTGCTGGAATCGTCGATGGGCCATTTTGGCTCGAGTTGATCCCTCGGCTTGCCCAGTCGTATGCCTTTGTCTGGGACATGGTCATCACGATTAGTTGGGCTTTTGAGCACGTCGAATATCGAGACCTGAGGCCTGTTTTCGACACAGGCGGCTTAACTACTACTATTCTCAACGCCGAACACCGCCGCGCTTTAAAGTGGTATTCTAAAGCTCTTGTAGGTTTTCGTCGCATGCTCGAGCAAGGCGAGGCGGATAATGTCCATGGTCTTTTGAGCTGCATCCTGTTTGGCGCCTTTGAGTTCCAGCAGAGGAACATTGGTAACGCACTACTCCTAATGGACAATGCGTACAAAATGCTAGGCGAGAACCTCTCGAATTCTCCGGCCAAGCAGATTACCGGAGACACTGGCCTCGACGAGTTATTGACGGCATTTACCTCGCGAAAGGCCATCCTTATGGCCACCCTCGCTATCCCAGAATGGACGTTGCTTTCAGGACAACATATCTCGGGACCTACTAATGTCAGGACTTTATCTGTCCTCGATAAATTCAGAGAGCATCTATACATGCTCATGTACAAGGCCTACGAGGTTGTCCGGGTGACAGATATATTAGCACACGATGATTATGAGTTGAAGAAGTTGAGGCCGGCACAGCAGCGATGTCTCCAAGAATTGCAACGATGGAACGATGCCTTCTTACCTATCTTGGCTAGCTTGCGAGATACTGAGAAAAGGTGGATGTGGATTTCCTCTTATCTCCTGATGTACTGGGGTGTCAGTCATGTTTGGCTATCCAGCTGCCTGAGCCCATATGAGCTGTCTTTCGACGAATACATGGACGAATTCGCGGCCATTATTCAAAACGCGGAAGACGTTATCGACCACGGCGCAGCAGACGAGATCAACGGCGCAATATTCACAGGAGAAGTCCAAGTTCTCCTACCACTGTATTTCGCAGCTACAAAATGCCGTAATGCGCTTCTACGCAGGAAAGCTTTACGTCTGATACGAAAGGTCCCTCCCCGAGAAAGTGTCTGGGCGGCCCTCGCGTCCCCGCGAGTGGTCGAAAAGATGATAGCTGTGGAAGAAGGCCACGACGATTTCCTCGAACATCCTTTAACAACCTCGATCATCTCCCTACCACCGGAGGAGCGCCGAATACACTACGTTGCTATTATCGAGGGAAACGTGAACGAGGGCCGGCGGCACGTCAAATTGCAGTGGCATAAAGCTGTATTCGGCGTCGACGGATCATTAAGAATGGTAGACGAGAGTGTCTGGCTAGAAGACATCGTCGAGAATCCTCAGGATCTAGCACTACCAGGCTCAGTGTGAAGATATGGCCGTCGAAGAACACCCTCGCAGGGACTTCCTGTTCGAGGATCCAATTCCGCAATATGTCCTGCTCAGGGGACTTGCCCTCTCAGGCTTACGCCATGCGCCTCGGCCAGCTAACACATAGTTGTGCCCGATAGTGCGCCATTGGTGGCTTTCCCATTGCACAAGTGTTTGTCATATGAAAATGGCCTGATAGTTGCATCGCTGGCGACTATGTGGGAGTTCAATACCCTTTGTATCATCACTGGGAACCAATCTCCACAATTGGGAATATGGCGAGGCCTTACCGACACTGGCACGGGCACTGGCACCGGGTGTACCCTCAGAGTGATGTGGATCATCATTGTATATCCTGCTGAGTGGCCTGCCTCCCTTTCTGTTGACCGCACGCATAACGAAGTATGACGGGACAGTTCCCCTTTCCAGCAACACATTCGGGCATGTATTTCTGATCTACTGGAAGAAATGATGGTTCAAGGAATGTGTTTTTTGTTTTTGGGTAACGGCGATGAAACTTGTACATACGATCTGGCAAGACAGATATCTTTTCAGAAAACCAAGCGGCGCTTTGTGCGGGAGAGGAGGTTCTATTCTATGCCTAGAGGAAAGGAGGGATCAGCGGCTGTGCTACACCTGCCATTCGAGACAGTGGTATTTTCTATTCTTGTTGGCTGTGTTGACTACGTGACTATTACCTCCATCTGTGTCACTGATGTCCGGTGGCTGTCTCATTAAATAGTATGGTGGACGTAAATTTGGTGTCAGACTGCGCTGCCTAGCGCAGTTCGCATTTGAAATAGGCGTGACTTGTAGGGAGCTGTTTTTGTCAGACGATGTGACTTATCGTTGGAAGCTTGATCTAATCTTGATTAGATCTCTCAAAAAAAGTTCCGCAACCAAAAAACCCCACTGGCGGTTTACTATCACCATTTGGCGAGATTTTGCACGCTTCACTTCCAAATTGACCGTCCGGAGGCCTCAAGAAGAGAGGATTACAAAATAGGAACAATGGGCAAGCGAAAACTCGGGGCGCTCGAAAAGGTCGACGCAGACCTCGCCAACCTACAGAACAAGATCAAGCGGGACCCGAAATCCTACCACACCGACTTCCTGCACCAGTACATCCAGTATGAGAACCAGCGACAGATCTTCATGCAGGCGCCAACGTCGGCCACGGCCAGTAGCGGCGGCGTCATCTCCTTCCGCGACCTGATCGAGTTCGTGGCGCACGTGGCCGATTGCTACAAGGAAGAGACGAGAGATTTTCCCAAACAATTGATCGAGATGCTGTCGACGCAGCATGCGACACTGGAGCCCGAACTGCGGGAGAAGATCGTGGGCAGCCTGGTACTGCTGCGCAAGAAGGAGATCATCGACTCACACACCCTACTGCAGTGTTTCTTCCCCGTCCTCACCACCACGCCCAGCAAGTCGCTGCGGGCGCTGCTGTTCACGAAGATTCTGAGCGACCTGCGCTCGGCTAACTCCAAGACGACGAACTACAAACTCAACCGCAGCGTACAGACGACGCTACATAACCTGGTCACGGATGATCGGTCGTCGCCCAAGGCCCTCTGGGCCGTCAAGATCACGCGAGAGATGTGGAAGCGCCAGATCTGGACGGACGCAAAAGCCGTCGAGATCATGAAAGAGGCGGCGCTCGCCGATAACGAGAAATGCGTCGTAGGGGGCCTACGCTTCTTCTTAGGCGGTGATAAGGAGCGAGAAGAGTTAGAAGACGAGAGCTCCGACGAGGAAACAGTCGATATTAGCAAGCTACGGCATCAGATCGGCGTCAATAAGAAAAGCAAGAAGACAGAGAGAAAACTGGAAAAGGCCGCCGCTACGGTCCGCCGCAAGGAGAAGAAGAAAGGCCAGCCTCATCCCTTAAACTTCTCAGCGCTACATCTCTTACACGATCCACAAGGGTTTGCCGAGACCTTGTTCTCAAAGCATCTACAGAGCGCAAAGTCAAAGCTGAACCTCGAACAAAAGCTGCTGGCGTTACAGCTAGTGTCACGACTAATCGGACTGCACAAGTTGACCGTCATTAGCTTCTACTCCTACTTCCTCAAGTATTTGACTCCTCGACAGCCCTCGGTCACATCGTTTTTGGCATCGCTAGCGCAGTCCACGCATAATCTTGTGCCGCCGGATATTCTGGAGCCCTTAATACAGAAGATCGCTAACGAATTTGTATCTGAGGCCGCTGCTGGAGAGGTAGCGGCGGCGGGATTGAACGCCATTCGCGAGATTTGTGTGCGGCAACCATTAGCTATGAATGATACCCTACTACAAGATCTGGTCATGTATCGGAAAAGCAAGGATAAAGGGGTGATGATGGCAGCGAAAGGTCTTCTGAGCCTCTACAGACAAGTAGGCGCTGAAATGCTTCGAAAAAGAGACCGTGGGCGAGACGCAACCCTAGGCTTGAAGTCTGGGGAACAGAAACAGCCGAGATTTGGTGAAGAGGCTGTTGGTGAGATTGAAGGGTTAGAGCTCCTGGAAAAGTGGAAGGAGCAGGAGAGGCAGAGAAGGAGACTGGAAAAGGGTCTCCCCGCAGCCGCTGGCTCTGACGACGAGGAAGAAGAAGAAGAAAGCGACGAGGAAGACTGGAATGCTTGGAACATCGAAGAAGACGCAGACAGTGATGATTCAGGAGGGTGGATCAACGTCGAGAGTGATGACGAGATCAACATCAGTGACAGCGAGGACGAGCAACCTTCAGCAAAGAAAGTGCGGTTTGCTCCGCCAGCGTCCGCCAGCGACGACAAAGAGAACGAAGGCGACGAAGCTGCTGAACTAACGACAGCACAGCAGAAATCGAAACTGGCTACAACTCGGATATTGACGCCTGCAGATCTGGCCAAGCTACAAGAACTTCGAACGACTGCCTCAGTCTCGTCGCTCATGAGGCACAAATCACATCACGCATCAACCACATCGTTACAGACTAATTCGCAACGACACATGGACGACCCTCTCACGGCCGCCGAGATCGAAGGTCTGGCTTCGCTCTCTCGCGGCAAAGCGACTCGAGCTCAGAAGCTGGCCTTACTGCAGGAACATAAAGATGACCGCGAGGCACACAAATCTAAAGCCGCCCGCAAGAAGGAACGTAAAGAGTCTGAGGGCAAGAGCACAACAAACAAGGAGAAGGCTCGCAAAAAGAATTTCTTGATGACACTGGGTAAGGCCAAGTCCAAGGGGAAGAGGAGTTTAGTCGAGCACCGGAAGATCTTGAGAGCGCATGCTGAACGAGGGAAGAAGGGAGGGAGACGAGGCAATAGAGGATAGACAACCAGTGTCTCGCCTGGCAAGTAATGAAGCCATCGAATCCTTCGTTCTGCATACCAAGAACCTCGTACAGCGCCCATTGTCAGCAAGGAAAAGACCAGGCAGGTAAACGTGCCAGGCATATACATTGTGCTGGGAATATGGAGCACGAGTAATCTCATCCCAACCCTTTTTTTTTTCTCTCCTCCTCTTCCTCGTTGGATGGCTCAGCCCACTTTTTTCCATGAGAGCAAAACTGTCAAACGTCGAAATTCTCAAGCCACGATGATGTGCCATCCAATGAAAAAGTGGTCGCGTAAAGTGCTTGAGTGGGCAGTGGGAAGTTTCGCGTCTGGTGGCGTCAGTTTCGTGTCAGCAACTTCGGGCGCAGGGATTTTCAAGAAGGGGACAACAACACCAATCAACCGTCGGCCAACTGTCAACCATGCCCAAACCATGCCAAAACCAGGGGAACACGAGTTCGGTCATGGAGGGGACAAGGGAAAAGAGTTGACTGCCCAGGTGTGCAGTATCCAATGGCTGCTGCGCAAAATGCCCAGCCCTGCCCAGCCCCGGACTTTTGCTCTGGCGAGTCCGCACGCTAGGCCTGAAACTCGGTGGTTAGCGGCGGGAGCGCAGCCACTATTAATATCGCCATGCATGACAATTTTAGGGGGCAATCAAGCCCCCCAGCCTCCCAGCCTCCTTCAGCCGCCTTTTCTCGCTGGAGGGAAGGGCGCAGGCCTGACTGTTTAGGCCACAATTTCACCAGGAAAAGGCAAAAAGAAAGAGGCTTGAGAGGGCAAAACGGGGAGACCCATGCTAACATTTTAACATTCTAACAGGGACCCCTGGTGGCCCTGGTCAGTGCTGGTTGCCTCGCAGTGAGTCTGTCGCCTCATAGGATACTGTAGCTAACTACGCCCTCTCGCTCTCCTCCTCTCGCTTGAGTGCTTGACGATCCAGTCGCTCCGGAAACATCGATAAGCCGCCGATAAAATCCATCCCCTCTTACAGTAGTGGCAGTCGTACAAAGATCCAATTGCTGCACGGCACTGTTGCCGGACTCCAGAGTTGGTTGCGCATTCGCCCTCATTTTAGTTTTTAACTTTGACACCTGCATCTCCTTCATCTCCTTCTTCAATCAAGCTCTTTGCTCCCCTTTCCTTTACTTTCTCAACTCTCACTGTCTCTCTCAACCATCTCACTCTCATTCTTCACACTTATTCTTGACCTTCAATCTTGCCCACCAGCATCAGCTGCCTTGATTCACATCGTTAATACCTAGTCCACCCCCCTCATCCTTTCGACGCCTTGCTATTCACTTAGTAGGGAGGGACCCTTCCGTCGAGCAATCCACACGCTTCATTCGCTTTCAACCTCACTGTTGACCAAGATCGACACATCACTTTATACTGCACCTGTACCTGCACCCGTTAGCCTTGAGCTCACTTGTTAGCTCAGATCCCCCCTCCACAGTCGTTTCTCGTCGGTGTCCTCATCACCACACCCCCATAACCACAAAATGGGTCTGCCGCAAGACTTTTCCATCCCGGTGCCTTCCATTGAGTCGGACTCACCCCTCTCCAAGCGTCGTCGCTTCATCCCCAACTCGCTGCCACCGATCATTCCTGTTACAGACAACTCGGATATTGAACAACACACCTTCGACTCTCCATTGCTCTTGCAGCTTTGCGAACAAGCCCCTGATCAGGAGGAAATCGAGGCAGGTCTTCTCCAGGTCGGTATGCGCGTCAGGAAGGCCGTTGCTGAAGGATACAAGACCCAAAAGAAATTCACCCCTCGGCCCTTCTTCAACATGCACCGGCTTTCCCCCGAGACCCAAGCTGCCCTGTCCGCTAGCAACGCCGATACCACCAACGAGATTTCCCCTTATGCGGCGGGACAGGTCCAACCAATCAGCACGGCCACTTTTTGTGGCATCAGCCTGGCTTACCTCTCTCACTGCAGCGAGGACTGGTCAGAACCCTCCATTGCCCAACAGAGTCTCTGGTCTTATTCCACCAGCCACAAGCGTTCCTACGAGGCCGATTCCGACAGCGACGAGAGTCAAGACTGGCAACCCCAAACCCCGAGCTTGATGGGCGATGCGGGTATGCACATGCCGGTTGATTACTTTGCCATTGATGTTGACAACATGACCGATGTCAACCACATAACGGAGATTGGTGACCGTGCCAGGCAACATTTCAATGGTCGCCGTATGGCTCTGCCAAAGAGTCGCAGCCGATTCTTCCAGCAACCCGAGACACAAATGCCGCCTTCCGCGACTGCCAATCCATTCGCCAACATGATGGGTCAACTCCCCGCAAACCCATCCGCCCATTCTCATGGTCACAAGAGAATGGTGAGCTGTGGTATGGAGGCTGCCATGGATTTTGGTGAGGCTTCCTTCCTGCAACGACGAGAGGACGTTGAAATGGACTGCTCTTGAAACGCCCAAGAAAAGAGATCGCCTTTTTTAAACCAGCATTTGATGATTGTGTTATTTTATGTTTTGCATTGTTTTATGAACTTTTGTCCTTTTTAAAAAAACGAGCAGAGATGCGTCGACGGAAATGCATTCGGACGGCCGCAACTTGATATGGCCAGGACATGCGAATCGGACGAGCATGAGGAGACGGGGTTTGAATGATGGTTGGGGACCATCTCAACCATCCTGGCCAACGTTGTAACATATTGCGAAATGTCATCAATATTTGGGTGGGGATATGGGAATGAAAACACTGTATATACGGACAGATATGGGGCTCATAACTCAACATGGGTCGAGTCATTCAAGAGATGGAAGGGAGTGCGAAGGAGGGCCATGACCTCTTATCGCTGGGAGAAAGCTGGATTTTGCAGGAGTCGGCGCACACTGCAATAAGAAGTCTTGCATACCTCGTGCCATACATGATGACACGATGGAAAATCGATTTAGCTAGATAATCAAGAATAAAACCATGATCGGAACTGACAACAGAGTTGTTTCTAATCTTCACCGCAATTTAGAATCATCGCAGGTGTTGGCACGTGATGATGGGAAAAAGTGGAAAAGGTGGACAAACTCCACAGGCGACGAACTGGCGGATCTCTTGGATTTACTTGGCTTTTGATGGTTTCTCATCACATCATCACATATAAATCCGCTCGCAGACTTGAGTGGGAAGTCTCGTCTTCAAATGTGGCGGCGAGGTTGACTCGCTCAGACGATCAGAGGACGCACTATGGGCTCAGCAACCGGAGAAAGAGGTCGGAATCCGTCCCACTTGTCTGCTCATCACGTTGCTTCGCTGGAATGACAGCCTTGGAGGTCAGGTGAGTGACAACAACAGGCAACAACACCAGTGGCGTTTCCAGGAATTGAAAGATGCAGGCATACCTTGGTCGAGAGACATGGTCGCTCGCAGGCACCCTGGCAGTGTGAATCACCATGGTGAGACAGGGGCTAGCCAGACGCCTTCAGACCGACCCTTTTCTATTGGCTGTATGCGACAAACACTCTCGCCAAACAGGCCGTGAGCGATAAAGATAACAGGACTCCTGAATTCACGACTGAGTCGAGGTAGCACGAAAGGGAGCCAATTTCAAAGTCGTCGCCTTTTGCTTATCACCTATTTTATCACGATGAGGTCGAACCTCTGTTGTCGTCGCTGTTTTTCCTTTCAGGTGTGCGTTTTCATGGGTTCGCTCAGGCTGCGCTCTCTTGATTTCCTAGCCGGCCATCAAACCATCCGGTCCAGACTGGGCTATTCTGTGTTGGCGAGATAGTCCTACGATGTCTACGATCACCCTGCCCGACTTCTCGCTTATTCTTCGAATGAGGGGGTCGCCCGCTCTTGACCCAGTATACAAATACACAACCTTACCCGTCGAAGGCTGGACGAGGATCTTGGTACTGAGCCCTGGATTCGCTGGTGATGATCTCTCGTGCAGTCTTCAAGTCTGGAAAATTGAGGACGCTGCCAGGGTAGGGTTCGACGCTCTATCTTACGTCTGGGGAGATGACAAGGGACCTCAAGGGGGACAAAAAATCCAATGCGACGGTGCTACTCTCCATATTCGAGATAACCTAGCCTGTGCACTGAATCATCTTCGTCATGATCGGAAAGCAAGGTTTCTTTGGGTAGATGCCATGTGTATCAATCAGGAAGATCGAAAAGAGAGATCAGAGCAGGTAAGTCAACTCGGTCGGAGTGAGTGAGGTTTTACTGTCCTGGCCGCTTTCCTCCTGACACCCAGCGGTAGGTTCAACAAATGGGTCAAATCTACGCGAGCGCATCGAGGGTTCTCGTCTGGATAGGCCCCGACGTCAATCACGAAGCAAGGGAGTGCTTCTCTCTGATACAAGCCACTGCTACCCTTCTCTCCGACATGGTTTCTGAACATGGCGACGTCAATTTGTTCCCCCCTATTACACGCGAGAGCCAAAAGATCTGCTCAGATACCCCCAAGTGGGATATGGTCCGCCGGTTGATGGACTCGGAGTGGTTCTCCCGGGTTTGGGTGCTCCAGGAAGTCGGCTTGGCTCGATCCGCTGTTTTGCTCTGTGGCAACGCATCTATGAATTGGGCTTACCTGGTGGAATTGATGCTTATCGTCGCCTCGCGTGTCGATGTCGGCGCGTTAATGGGAAATGTCAAATCGGGCATGTTCTGGGACTTGTTTGATGACCTCTGGCGGACATATGGAAACGAGCTGTCCTGGAGAAAAGAGTTGCCGATGTGCAAATCCTTGAGTTGCAACGAAGCTCACGTGAGCTTCATTAACATTCTGAACGACGGACGGTCCTACATGGCTACCGATCAGCGGGATCGTGTATATGCCTTCCTCAGTCATCCTAGTACAGCATGCGGTGCTGCAAAAGAGAAAAGACTAGTGGTCGCCAACTACAATTTGTCCGTTGACGAAGTCTACTTACACACCGCGGAGGCGATTCTTCACAACGACCCATATCCATGGACGGTCCTTACTTGTATTGACCACACCGCAGATTCTTCCTCACTTGATGGTCTGCGCTCGTCGTGGGTTCCGCGCTGGGACGAGGGGTGGCGGGTGTATTGGTTGGGCTATCCGGAGATGTGGTATCGAGCTGGTGGATCCAAGTCAGCGCCATTTCGATTTGATGTTTCCCAGTCCGACTCGTCTCTACGCGTGACAGGTGTAATCTTGGACTCTATCGAGTGGACATCCAGGGTATTCGACTCGCAGGAACTTCTACTGGAGAAACAGAAGGAAAACAAGCTATTGCAGAAGTTGTGGCAGGACTTGGAGCCTGACAGAGGTGACAGCGTTTACGGTAACAGTCATGACGAGCGAGAATTCGCCTACAGCCTCGCCATCGCAGCTGGACGGGCAGCCGACGAAGGTCCAGCTGAAGATAGTCCCAGTCATCACCGTGCCATTTATCGGGCGTACAAGGAAATGGTGCTCGGTAAGGGCGGCGGTGACCCCGGGATACCACCATTGTCATCGACAGATGAAGAGGTCACGATCCAAAGCGAGCAGGAGTCTCCAAAATCCCTCGAACTCGAGGCCATGACCTACGTCAGCAGCAACCAGCGCAGGGCCTTACACAACCGACGATTTTTCCGAACTTCAACAGGTTACTACGGAGTCGGCCACCTGACTGTCAAGATAGGCGATGAATGCTGTGTGTTCAAGGGCGCGAATGTGCCATTCGTTGTTCGGAGAGTTTCAACCGACAGTAGCTCTACCTCCACTCGATACTTGGTCGTGGGTGAATCTTATATCCAAGGAATAATGAAGGGGGAAATTTTTGAGATGATGGATGATGGCAGGCGTGATGATCTTGTTGAACAGACAATTATTCTTGTGTAAACTAGAGAGAAAGGATGATAAACCTGACAAGGCTGCGACATGCACAAGGCTACCAGTTGCGGGGCCAGCAACGGACATTTTGACTAAGCAATTCACGTGCCGATAGCCAAGATTGGCTTCCCCGTTTTGGGATGTAAACAAAAGAATCCCAGGACATGGGCCTCCTCGTAGTCTACCTGCAGTGCATTCTCATACAGCTCTGACAATAATCCTTGCGCTGGTACTACGCTACGTTAATTTGAAACCATGCAAGCTTTATGACAGTGATTCATTCCCCTCAGACGGCTTCCTAAAATCATGGACGCCGCTATTCTTGTCGATGACAATAATATGGAAAACAACAACCCTCACATCAGTCCGAACCCGCTCAAATGCCCGCCTGCTACGCCGCTGCACCAGCTTTCGCCAGAGCGGATCAATCAGCAACGCATCCCCCAATCGCCCTCCCTACACAGCTACCTGGTCGAACATGACCGACCCGGCACGCGCGATTCATTTACCTCGGACGTGCAGTCGAAAGTCGCCTTTCTGAACAGTCTGGCCGCAACCACCAGTGTCCAATCGTCGCCCACTCGACCCAGAAGACTCGGGGCTGGCCTACAGGATAGCTGTAGCGCCACCACCACGCCTAATCAGAATTTGAGTACCAGCAATGCTCTCCAGCGGGCGGTCATGGGATACGAGGAGGCGCAGGCGAGCCTGGCCACTTTGAACGCCGAGCTCGAGCGGGCCAGGGAGGAACTGGCGTCCAAGAAGAAACGGGAGAGAATGCTCTCGCAACGTGTCGAGGATCTGTTGGAAGAGGTACAAGCGGAGAAGGAGAAGCGGGGTCGGGACCAAGAGTCGTACACGAAGGAGATCAAGAGATGTCGGAAGGAGACATACCGTGCTGAGCTGGCCGTCGTGGAGGCGAGACAGGATCTGCAGGAAGTAAGGGCAGAACTGAAGAAATGCCAGGCTGAGATACAGCACGAGAAGGCGGAGAAGGAGAAGAGCCGTCAAGAGAGTTTTGAGAGGGCGTACGCGTTGGCGGGCATGGTGGGTGAGATGGATCAACTGAAAGACCGGCTAAAAGTCGTGGAAACGGAGAGGGATGCAGCACTCTCGGAGGCAAAAACAAATGCCGTAGAAAAGAAACTAACTGTGGAGAAATGCGTCCAGACTGAAGTGCTTGATGTCCCTAACGAAGATTCAAGGAACCGAGATCACGAAGACCTTGATCAGAGGAATGTCGTTCGACAAGGCGAGAACATTCAGTCTTCAAAGCATTCGGATAACGAGAACCACAGACAGCCCGCCTCTCAGCCGAGAATGGTGCCAGCGTCCGCGTCGACAAGTCGCATTATCCATGAAGCACCTGTTCGACTGCTTCCACAGAAACTGCCAGATTTCGCCTCTGCCATATCCCGCCTAGATTTTTACGACAAGCAGTTGGGAGGAGAGAAGATCACTCCTGAGGAAGAAGTCGAGTTTCTGAAGCAAGAGCTTGCTTGGGCGCGGAAAAAACATGAGGAAGATTCGGAGTTGATCCATTTCATGCATATGCAGTGCCAGTTCAAAGCTTGTCCATGTCGACTGGCTGAATCGAATGGCGATCGCTTTGTTCATGATCAAGTTTACGATGCAAAGATGCAGCACCATCGCGCATCGAAGAAGAGGAAGATTTCAGATTATCCCGAGGAGAACAGGCCAGCTCTTGAGGAAAGCCACGGGAGATTTTCGCAGCAGCCACCCTCAAGCAAAGACATGCCTCCTCAGGGGAGACCGGAAGCTGAGACCACCCCGACAGAAGACAGTGAGCCAGCTACGCTCCCACCTGACCCCACGCCAGGGTTAATGGGTTGGGCATCAGAGGAACCTATGGTCCTCGAACAAGCCATCGAAGTGCCTCTTCCGGAACCAGATCCCATGGAATTGGACTCGAGTAACAACACACTAGAGGCGACGGCGCAATTGGAGGAAATCACACAAGTTTTGGTTGAGCCAGCAACAGGCTCGCAAGCGTTCCTGTTCTCTACGTCTTTTACAAGCAATGCTGGCGTTGCGGCAACAGCTCCAGCACTTCGCTACGCTGAGAGTACATCGGCAATTCTTGACCAAGATCTCTTCGATCTTTCGCCGCCAAAGCAAGCACCTCCGCGGCGACCTTCGACCGCGCTGGGTATCTTGTCTGTCGACTCGCCTATCCGACTCGTGCCAGACTCACCGCGGTCGGTTAGATCCTTTCAACGTGAAACCGTGCGATCTGCCGCAAAGGGACGAAAGCACGCCGCTACACCATCAGTCACCACAACAACCACGACGAAAATCGCACTTAAAGATTCACCATCCCAGGCTAGTCTGCACAGGCGAGCGCAGTCGAAACCCAATCTCCGAAGCCACTCACCTCTGGTGACCTCGGTCATGTCTCACTACGATGACGATACCGACGTGCGGTCGATGTACGAAAAGGACTCGTCAGCGTCGCCCGCAGCGAGCACTATATTTCCTGTGACACCTGTGCACAAACATTCGAGGTCCATGCATAATCTGGCTCAGCATGCACAGATGCAGGCTCAACAGGCTGTCATCCAGAGCCAAGCTCCGGCGCCAGACGCAGGGTCTGAGAGAAGTCTGCAGTCGATTTCTGCCACCACCACAACGACTACGACGCGAGTACCACTTCGAGAAGCCGTGGATGCCGATGATGGGATGAGTCCGGAGCACCACATGAGTCGAAATGGATACGATCACGCTCACACCGAGGTCTTGAATATCAGAATAGACCCCCATACAAGCAGAGAAGGTATCCCGCAGGTCCAGTCGAGGGTGAACTCACTCGCGAGTTCGACCATGCTCTCTAATGTGCCAGGGACTCCGATCTCACGAGAGGCAGCCCTCGCACAGATTCGGGCACGGAGAGATCGAGCCAGGAGCGTCAATCTCAAGCGCACTGTCGAAGGCCACGGCAAGGGAGTTAACGGCACACGAAGCCCGACGAAGGGTCGGCCAGGAGTGTTGAATGGAAGTGGTGGATTGTTCCAAGTAGTCGGAAAGGAGAATGCGCGACGGGAGATCAGTCAAGCGAGTGCACCTGGACGGCTTGCTTTTTGAGCCAAGGACAAAGTGAGCTAGCTCTCTTATCACATTGTGAGGCTGTCTCGGGCTGTCTCGGCCAGTGTGTAAACATGCAGGACATACAGACAGGCAGACAGACTTTATTAATCAATGTCTTTTTTGCGGCATTCTTGGGTTCGTTACCTTGTTTTTCTCGATATCGTCCTTCTCGTGTAAAAATTAAAGTTGACAGTGTGTATTCTATATTGTATGGATTCGTCCCCAGTCTTCGTCTTCTCTCTCCCCCTTTCTCGCGGACCCATACATACACAGCAAACAACGAAACCAATCATATTAGCCCTTTTCACTTTTCCCGCAACCAGAGCCTCGCGTCTCTACATTTCTTTATGTCATTAGCCGAAACAGACCTCGTCATTCCCTATTTCCTCATCTAGTCTAAGTAACCACCCATCAACCGCCTAGCCGGACATCTCCATTTCCATGTCCCTCTCCTTCCCTTTTCGCTAATATTTTTGATTGCTCTAGTTTCGTTTTTGTCGTGGCTAATTATCAATTAGTCACTTTCGCTCTGCTTCGTTAAACACTGACTATTGACCATTAGATTCTATTCAACTAGATCTCCTGTGTTTTCTTAGAAGGACAACCCACCAATCCCTCATCAATTACGTATTTTCCCCCGCTCTATCATATTTGTGTCTTTTTCTGGATTAGAAAAAACCCCCTCGGCCCCTCCAGAGATCCATCCTCCACATCTCTTTGCGTGAAGATATCCATCCCATTTGGCGACTGCTACAAGAGTCCTACAGAGGTACCACAAAAAAGGTACTACACTACAGTGGTGAATGACGTTACACTAGACAATACTCCGCAAAACATCCTATATCCTGTTTGAAATCACATTAAACTCCTGTTCGCGCGAGAGATCGAAAGAAAAAAGAAGGGGTGGCGGATTCAAAAGGGGCTCAATCAGTAACCGTCGATCGCTAACTCCGATATTGACTTCCCACTCCACGAAACTACCAACAACGTTGTCGATCTTGACGAAGTCCACGCGGAGTATATGTGACCTCTGAAGAACCACGGGGGTCGGTTTATTACAGCACTCTTCGTCGACATACCAGCAACAAGCCTCGGGACTACTTTTCGGTCAGGCTAGCTGTTGAGAAATTGTGTGTGAGCGGGCCTAGAAGATCTAAGCGGAAAACAGCGACGACGCCGTTGTCGGGTTGAGACGGGCGATAAGATTGAAAACTCCCCTGGTCAAACAAAGGAGGTGTGAAGGGAGGATATCGACACGCCTCATTCATTGTCTATCTTTGCATCCATCGATCGATATATCTGGGTCACCGATATTTGGGGTCACCCTCACGCATATCACGGGGACGAGAAAAAAGGAATAAAACGTACCACCTACCTAGGGTGCTATTATTCTAGGCATACACCTGACGAACCCAACTCAACCCACTCCAACCTGATCAAAGAACAGACCAGACCACCCCACCCCGACAACAATGTCTCCGTCACAGTCTCAAGATCAATCGCAATCGCAATGCTCGACCTCGTCAAAAACCGGCACTCTCTACTTCGCCTACGGCTCCAACCTCTCGGCATACCAGATGTCTCTTCGACTCCAGCACTCGCCCGCGTCGAGCGAACCCGTCGCAATCGCCCGGCTGGACTCGTATGCCTGGATAATCTGCGAACGCGGGTACGCCAACGTGGTCGCACTGCCCAAATCCAACACGGCGTCATCGTCGCCGGACGACGATGAGAATACGGTCTGGGGCGTCCTGTATAATATGGACCCGGTGGACGAGGCCCGGCTGGACATGTACGAGGGCCACAATCATGCGAGAAACCCCAACCCAACGATCAACCCGGACCCAGCGACGCAGATGGTCAAGCGGTACTTGCAGGACGGGTGGGACTATAACAAGCATTACCTCCCCATGACGGTGACGAAGTGGCTGAAAGATCCGGCCGAGCTGGGCATAGACGTGCCGTCGTCCTCATCATCTTCTCTACCAGCTACCAACATGACGAACGGTGTCACAGAATCGCACAACGAAACGACCGTCCGCGCGCTCGTCTACGTCGACGAATTCCGCACGACGCCCGGAAAAATCGTCCAGGAATACATCGGCCGGATGAACAGAGCGATCGAAGAGTCTGTCCAGCTGGGCATCCCGCAGCGCTGGGTCGACGCGGTCATGAGGAAGTTCATCCCCCCGGGTATCTATGTCGATGAGGAAGGCTACGTCGGCACGGATGAGGGGTATGTCGAGGCCGAGGCGACAGAGGCGGAGGATCATGTCAAGGAGAATGAGCTTAAGGATAGAGACAAGGATTGGGACCGGGAATTGGATGTGCAGGGGGACGTGTGATGTGATATCATATACTATGAATGCGGAAGACGTCAAATTTGAGCAAGCATTAAATTAGATAGACCACATACATCAATTGCGGGGCGCGAGAGAGAGAGACAGAGAAGCGCATCTGATATGTCAGTGAATGATTGAATAAATGAATAAATGTCCAGCCTGAGATCGATTGCTGGCAATGAAATGCGTCCGTATGACATGATATGATATGGTATGATATAATGAGATCCGTGGGATCGAGACCTTTCCATCGTCTCTCGACATTCCCCAACCACGTCTTTCTGCGGTCCTTTCTTTTTTTTGAAGAGAAGACTCACCCCACATACACGGCATATCGCATAAACCCCTCGTCCCCCTTCAACCTCGCCAGATCATCCTCCCTCAAACATAACGCGACTGCGACCTCCCCGTCCGGTGCCTTGGGCATCAGATAGAACAGGCTCTCGACGGGCACGAACCGCGGCCTGCGCACGGCCTCGGGCCCGCCCAGTCCTAGGTTATAGTCCAGGTTGTAGCAGTCGTATTTGGCCCAGGAACTCAGCATGATGTCCGCGGCCGGGTCCAGCCGTGCGGTGACGTTGAGGCTATTGTCCTCTGGTGCGCGGTGCAGGCGTGTAGCTAGTGCGCGTGTCGCATACCCCAGGTTCGACGTCGCGGGGTCGACGGCTTCGCGGAGTTTCGAGGCGATATGGCCCAGGTGTGTGTCGAGGAGTTCCTCTAGAGGAAGTGTCGTGTAGGCCATGTTCTGGATGAGGCCCGGGTACGTGGCGGGAATGCCTAGGTATCTGCGCGGATCAATCGCTCGGGCAAAGGTCACCTCCCGCAAAGGGTCTAGGCGAGGACGACGGGCCCGGGACACACCCAGCCAGATGAAGGCGGATAGGACGTCGTCGGTCGAGACGAAGCTCGAACTGTTAGTGAGAGATTGCATTGCGACTGATTTCAGGCTGGCGAGCGACGAGGCAGAGAATACAAAGTAGGACCAGCTGCATTTTGGAGGTGGAAGTGGAGGTGGAGGTTGAGATTCAGCCTGAGCCTGAGCCTGAGCCTGAGTTTGTTGTGCAGGTATGTCGTCCACGGCATCAGACGCAGCCTGATCTGCAGAATGCTCCCCAGTCTGATTCTGATCCGGCCCTGGCGGAATATCAATCTCGTCCAGGAGCGGGATAAGATTGCGTCGATCAAGGTTCCCCGTGGCGATTTCCTCGGCGGTGAACACCTCTCCGTCGTGACACGCCTTTGAGAGGAGGCGCATGATCTCAACCATGCCCGTCATGTCCATCGTGTTATGCTGTGTCACAAAGGTGAGCAACAAGCCGCCCGGGATGAAATTGGCCTGCACCGCAAAAACCGGCGCTGGTCCGTCGGTGCCCGCGGCGAGGGTGTCGATCGGTGCGATGACGGACTCGTCCAGCATGGTGAACGGGAAGTTGGTCTGCCGCAGGGTATCCATCGTCAATGTCGGATGGCCTTCTCGCAGGTCCTTGACGACCAGACGAGGAGTCGTCTCAAAGGGTCGAATCTTGTAGAGTGTTGGAGTGTCATCACCTTCAGCGGCGGTGCTCTGGCGAACAACCTGGCCCGCCACCCATGGAAAGCTGGCAGTCAGTCTCTCAAGTCCCTTGGTCAACGTGGCGACAATGTCTGCCTGTGAAGGTCCTTCGTCGCTCATCTGAAAGCACAGACATAGCTGTGTGTATAGCTTGTACAGGCCTTGTTGTTGCCCGAAGATGTCGAGGTCACTTTCGAAGTCATCCATGATTTACCACTTCGTTGACCACGAGACTTGTGGTTCTCGCACTTACTTGCAAACATTGCAACCATGTGGACAGGCACAGGGACTGTATTTGTACTCGATGTCAAAGTGGCCTTGAACATGCGTGTGCAACGACACTTGGTCGATCCTGCGCCTTTTAAACCTTGCGCCATTCCAGCCGCGGAAAGTGGAAGTTTTTCTGGCCGATCGGACGGACAAAGTCTGTGATCGAGTCACTTGTACAAGAATCAATTCTCAACGCGTTATATTCCAGAGGCGCCTTTTGTTTAGCCACTGTCATCGACACCCTATGTTACACGTGTCCATTTGTTATGCTCATGCCGTATACACTATTCATACATTGATGGTCCAGTATCGATGCACCACCCTTGAAACTCAAAGCGATATTTCCGCATACCTATCTGGATGCGCAATCAAGGGCACAATCCCACCCTTTCTCAGTGGCACATTGATCCCACACCGTGCCAGCACGTTCGTCACGGCACACACTTTGACCGAAGACAGCGTGATGCCGTGCTGGTCTGGTTGCCTGTCCGTCAGAAGGATCAGTACGTTGATTAGCTCTTGTATCTCGTTCATATCCAGAATTACCCGCCGTCGCCCGGGGGTGAGCCGACGTTCCTTTGCGAACATGCCCATTTCCTCGTCCAGCCATTCGGCGACTTTGGACCGGAGATGGGTCATTTCTCCAACCGACTGCCATACTTTGACATCTTTGCGAAGATGGGGTGCCGAGATAGATGCGTGCGTGAACTTTTGCTCGGATGTGCGATATCGTTCGTCGAAGAGGCGCGAAAAGATGGTGAGGTGGACGTCGCCCTCGACCTCGACACCTTGTGAGGGTGTCTCGTCGATGCATTCTGATATGGTCGCTGCGATCACGGCCATTCCCCAGACAAAGTTATACGCCAAAGAGCCAGGGGATAGCTCGCGCAACCGCCCGTCGATGCGCCAGGTCCAAGACATGCCCGACGAAGGATTCAATGGGCCACTGTCTTTTAGCTGCAGCCACTCTGCCGCCTCGACTGCGTACATCCTGTTTGGCGCGCCGTCGGATACCAGCTCGTCGTATCTCTCCGACTGCAGGGGCCAGATGGTGTGTATGTCTGTCCGCACCAGATCCCCGCGTACAAGACTGAGGTAGTAGTAGGCGTAGTAAAGCATCCGCGCCGTATCGGAGGATTGTGTGGTCCCTGTGCCAGGAGGAAAAGCAGGAGCTGGAAACGGTACGGCATTCCAAAGCTGGCAGGTGTTGAGTGGCGCAAGGAGAGACTTGACTCTGCCTTGTAGACTTGCAAGGAGGACCTGCATCTCACAGTCAGTTTGGAGAGTGGTAAGACAACGCATCCCCGGCAAAAGTCAGACTCACCTGCAAACTTCTATATATTGTTTCCAGCGACACCAAAGCTGAAGATATGAGGTTACTCTTCTCCTTCAGCGCCTTTCGCTTCTTGGGGCTGTGAGAGGCGATGTAGGCCAGCACCGTCTCCTTAAATTCTTCATCCTTTTTGCGGATATCGTTTTTGATCTGCTCTATAGCCCCCTTCACCTCAAAAATCTGCCGAAAGATGACCCTTTGCTCCTCTTGGCTGTTGCTCCCCGCGGCCTGCACGGCGCCTACCATGGCCATGCTGGTCTTGGCCTGCTCCTCTGCTATGGCTTTTCTGGTGTCGGCGGTTTGTGACTGGAGTGCCCGTTGCAGGATGTGCCGGTCGTTGATCATGGCGTCGACAATGATTTTGGTGTTGTCGCGCTGGAGGTCAGAGAGGCAGAGCTGCTGGAGGGCGAGAAGGTCGACTCGTTCTCTGTACAAACCAGTCGGGAAAAAGAGTCAGATACATGTCTACCATAAGAAAGGTGAACCGAGTTCCGCAGCGGTGTCACAGTGTCGGAACAGCTCTAGACCTACCTAAGGTCTGCAATCAGCCGGAGGTTGATCTCGTCTCGATATGTGTTTAGCCGCTTCTCAATGGCATATATCTTCTCTTTGCTCCATACACTTCGGAGGGCCTTTCTCGTGCTCTTCCATTTGCTGCTCTTCCCTTCCACCGTCACCTTGGATAGTGCCTCGAGAAGCTCCTGTGCGACGTCCCTGCAGCCCTGGCAGATGGTGTCAAGGGCCGGATCGTGTGATGCCGGTGGCTGCTCGTTCTCGTCCGGAGGTTTATTCTGCTGAAGTTTGCCCGTCAGTTCCGTGAGGTCCTTTGTCGTCGCCTCAATGTCCACGGTCTCGTTGTCTGCCCCGAATTGATGGACTTCTCGCGCCTTGGAGACCAGGTTGATGCTGTGGTTGATCAGGTCAAAGACGTTCACCACCACACTCACAGCACTGAGGGGGTCGAGTACCATGGTGCTCAACGCAAAACGCAGGATATACAGCAACCATGAGCATGATGGGCGGACAAGCCCTTATTAGGGATTGAGAGCTGCTCTTCGATTTGGGGCCCCTGTGGCGTCCGTATGCGCCCGCGGCAAGTGGCTTGCTTGTTACATGGCAAGGCAAGCCAGGGCATTGGTGCCATTGGCGTGTCCCAGTGGCCAGAACCCCAGAGGTACCATCTTCATACCGTTCCAGGGTCAGGCTGAGATTCAACGAAACACATGGTTTAGGAGGACTTTGACGTTGCCCCTGTTTGTTTGCTTGCTGGAAAAGCGACACATTCGATCAGTTCTACGCGAACGACTTTGGCCAGACCTGGCTGGCAGCCTTGGCAGGGAACAGCTGCCATGACGTGCAGGAAAAAGAAATTATGTGGTATAACAAATCAGGACATTTTGTCTTCTTATCCTCACAGACCGTTCCAAGTACTGCATATTTGTCTCCCACCGAGCGATGACTTTGGATCGGACCCACCGAAATCAAACCCTGGGGGGGCAGCTACTGGGACGAATGGGCTCGGGCGACTGAGCCTAGTAATGCGCAACCCAAAAGCTTTAGGGTACAGGCAATTAACCTGCGGGAGGAAGTAATTCCGTCCATTCCCAGCCTTGCCAGTAGCTGGGGAAACCTGAAGTCTTTTGCTCAACCGAGGGATACACATGCTAAGAAAGGTTTCGGGGAGTCCAAGAAAGTATGTGTTCGGTAACGGAGCTGGTGGAGCTAGCTCGTTGATGATATCACATCATATACCAATCTCTACCGTCGTTTGCATTGATAAATAAAATGTACAATGAGTAACTTATGGTTGTTTGAAATTGTCAAAAGGTGACGCGGGAGATTCCTTGACTGCCGACGTGTCCATCAGTCCACCGTTATATTTTGCGAGTGTACAGTACATTCTCCAGTCCTCGTCACAAAGCACCCGCGCGTCGAAAACTCGGCGGCAATACCATCGTTGTCGTCGTCTTTTACCAGCAGTTATCATGACCGGAGACCAACCACCACCACCAACAACCTCCTCAAAGTCCAGCATGCCTCCCCTACAACTGCCACCAAATCTGAAATTCGGCCCCTTTTCAGTAGCTGCACAGGTCTTCCACCTCTCGCCTTCTCGCCTGTCTTACGGCCTGGTCAACCTCAAACCCCTGCTGCCGGGCCACATCTTGATCTGCCCGGTACGCTGTGTCCCCCGGCTCACGCAGCTCACGGCGCCCGAAACCGCCGATCTGTTCAATACGGTCCGGCTGGTGACGCTGACCCTTCAACGGGTGTACCACGCCACCTCTTTCAACGTCGCGGTCCAGGACGGCGTCGATGCAGGCCAGTCCGTGCCGCATGTCCACGTCCATGTGATTCCGCGCCAGAGAGGAGATTACGACCACAAGGGTGGTGGCGACAGGGTTTACGACGATATGGACGGAGAGGAAGGGGACCTGGGCAAAGCTTTCCTCGAGATGCAGAGGTTGAGAGACGAAAGGGTAAAGTCCGGAAGGGAGGCGTTGGGTGGGCCAGACAGTACGAGGGAACCCAGAAGTGAGGAGGAGATGAGGAGGGAGGCGGACTGGCTGAGGGAGGAGATCTGGAAGGATCGTGCACAAGCACAGGATGGGGAATGATGGCCATGGCCACGGCCACTTGGGGCTTTCTGCCGCCATCGATTCTTGTATCAACAAATCCAACTGCTTGTGTATAGAGATAGAAACGCTGTGCCAGAGACGGGAGGCCAGCGTCGACACAACCGCGGCAAAAGAATAAAGGTCCAAACACGCCATCTATTATTTTCTGGGTATCTCTGGTCTTTAATCTTCATGGCTTTCGACGCGCTGTCGAGCAGATCGCACTCTGTTGCAACATACATCGCTTCTCTCATTCTCATCATCATTTCGCATGTCCATTCATCTCGGTCACTCCATTGCCCAACACCTTGCCATCGCCATTGCTGTAGTATTCAGCCTGTTGCTCCTTGATTGTCGCCGCCTGTGTGGGCTCTCGAGGTGCCATATCTTTGCTCTTCCACAACTCGGCTCTTTCATCCAAGATCTCCTGTGCCCATGCTTTCATCTCTTCCAGACTGATCCTCCTCGCCACCCAGCTGAATTCGCTCAGGTCAATGGCGCAATTGTTGGCCCGCTCGTACTCCACCATCTGCAGTATTAGCTCCAACTTGTCCACATCATGAACGAATTTCGACTCCAGAGTCTCGCTGTCCTCGTATTCTTGCCAGACTGAGCGGATATCCTTTCCTGGAATGCCGCCGTGCACTTTTCCAAGTAATGACTGAGCGACCCAATCCATCGTCTCGGCCTCCCGTCTGCTCTTCTCCACTTTCGGCACACCATCAACGGGCGTCAAGTCTCCAACGAGCCCTTCAGCCATGTCATGAACCAATGCCATCTTGGTGCATCTCGGGATATCCAATCGTGAGCTTAGTTCTGGTGGGGCGAGCATGGTGATCAGGGACATGCGATACATGTGGTCTGCTATTGACTCTCCGGTTGAGATACCAAACCTCCGCCATCCTTCTCGCTTCTCAGTCTTCAGACGCTCAAGGTAGTGGAAGAACGGTACGGGAGAAGAGGAGCCTTCGGGCGGTGGGTTCGGCAGATCGTTCAAGACAGCGCGCACGGACCAAGGGTTCGGTTTGGGTAACAGAGATGTGTGAGAATTTCGGAGGGTGAATGAAGGTTGAGTAGGTGGTACTAGCAGGCATCAGCGTTGAAACACGGTATTCGGGCAAGACTCTTACGTTCAGGTCTGTCTGAGGCCATTTTGCTGCCGTGTAGAGAAATATGGTTGTCGAGTGATAAGCAAGGCACCAGATGCGACGACGAAAAGATGAAGAAAATGAGAGTAAAAATCTAGAGATACCATCCAGTTTAATGTTGCTGCGCCTCTAGTGCTTGAATGTACAAAGCAAACTTGCGCGACACAGACGATGCTTCAGTATAGTGACATGTTTGTTGGGCAAACACCAAATGAGGCTGTTCATTTGTTTACCAAGCGACGCTCCCCGCCAAACAAAGGGGGTTTGGCTGCCCGTCCCGCCTCGCCCGCCTCGGCCGCAGGTGCCAAGCCAGATGAACAAGCACACAAGGCAAATTCATGAACTCACCTCAAGAGGCAGGTCTGCCGGGGAGAATAGCCTTGCCGGTGGTGCCGATAAGGCTGGCGTTATTTTTCTTGACCAAAACTTCAATTGCTTGGTCCAACGTCTCTTTCGACCCCCCAGCAGAGCATAATGAGCGTTATCGAGACATAACTGCGCAGAAATTGCTACAAAGGCCACCAGTCAGCTTTGAAGGCTCTAGTTTCCACGGTCAAAAAGTTCGACTTGAGGGGTCACAGCACTGCGCGAGGAAATTCTTCCCTGATTGCCGACCCGATCAATGCTGGTCCACTAACCCATGGGAAGCTTGAATAATGCCAAGTTTGAGAACATGCATCTTGTTCTATATATACTCTTATCATGCACACTGAAACGCATGCAGAACACCTCCTTGGTTTTGTGCATGAGCGCATGTTCGGTACTATACCAGGTACATATTATTTCTGAAACCTCTAATTCGTCGTCTCTTCTCTCAACATCTCTTGACCGTGGATTTGATGCGAGTGGCAGAAACCCCGGGTCATATTCGTGCTCGGTTCGATGACGCCTTCTGTGTTTGTCTAAAAGGTGGGTGGTCCTTCGGCGAAAGGCCGAGGAGAATGCTCGGAGGCTGGCACGGCTAGGTCAGCGCTACAACTGAGGATACCTTATCTCATTTTCTAGACTGGAAACTGTCCAATCTAATCAGATGCTATTCCATCATCTAATCTGATAAGTCCCCGACGACTCCATTGAGCTCCGCTCCCAGCTGCTCCTGCTCGAACAGTGGCATGCCTCGATGCAAACCTGCTATCCCACTTCCGATACCGCTTGAGGCGCGTGACCAATTGCTTGAGGGCTGAAGAAGGAGGAGGATTTTTGCGACTCGAAAGGCTCTCTCTGATTGACTGAGGAACATCGTCTATGCTTGCTTGGGAAATATTACCAATGCCCACTCGGGCAGCCAGACCCATGGGTTCTGAAAAATATACTCCTGCGCTGCCGTGGAACTCTACAGCGGGTGGAATCTGCTTGACTCCATCATGGGTGTTGCAATTTTCTTCTGGACTTGAGTCTGGGAGCACAAAAGGAACAGCATCGTCCTTCTGATCCTGTTTTCTTTCTGGCCAGTCTCTCCCCAAATTTCACATTTCTGGACGTTCCCGTTGGCATTTTGAGTTGGAGAACTTCGTCCTATCGCACACCATGCAGTGGCACCAGAGGTCATTCTCTCTGCTTCTCGTTCTATTGGCTGGGGCTTGTGATGTCTTTGCAGCGTCAGGTTCCGAGGTAGCTGCCCTGCAGGAAGGCTCCCTCCTGCCACGGGCTGCAGCACCGGCAACAAAACATCGCTCTGACAAGGTCCACGGCATCGTTATGGGAGTGACAGTCATCATTCTTTTCCCTTTCGCCTCGATCTCCTGGAGACTGCTGGACCGTCTTGTTGGTGGGAGGACGCTCTTCAAAATCCACGTATGCTCCCAGCTCCTGGCTCTGGCGATGCTCATCGTTGGCTTCGGAACCGGCGTCTGGGTCTGTATTCTCCACAACGAGGTACGTACGGGAAGCCGTGATTGGTGGGGATTCTACCCTGCGGCGCCATCCTTCCAATATCTTCCCACGTCGTCCTATTTCTTGTCACGAAAGTAATTGACACGCGGCTACAGGTCTACAACGATGAATGGGGCCATGTCATCCTCGGCACCATCCTCACGGCCCTCTTCCTCCTCCAGCCTCTCATCGGGCAGTGGCACCACTACCTGTACAAATCGCCCAGTCGGAAGGTCAGGCCTGGGATACGTCGCACCCACATCTGGCTGGGACGACTGTTGATGGCTGCGGCCATCATCAACGGCGCGACAGGCATTGTGCTGGGCAACAACAGCCCCGGTGGCGAAAAAGGCTACAGCGCTGCGGCCGGGATCGTCGGCGTGGCCTACATCGTGATCCTGGCGCTGTGGTACTGGAACAGAAGCAAGCAGAATCGTGAAGACGATGGTCACGACATGGCGAGGGCGGGAGGTGCGGATGTCGAAAGAAAATCCGTCCCCGATGTCGCAGTCGACAGGATGTAGAACAGCTAGAGTCGAAGTCGGCGTACGACACGAGTCTTCTTGTGCCGATGAGCAGAACGGGCTTGCGGATCATCTACGTCGGCACCGAGTCGGTGGGGTCCCTAACGCAGAAGAAAATTATCAGTCACCTGTGCTGCCAGATCTGGGCTGTATTTCGAGAAAGTCAGTCATATAGCCCTCGAACGAGCCAGACACACAATACATAGATAGAAAAGACATGAGAAACGGAGATGGAGATTGGTTGGAATGTGGAGAGGAACATTTACTCACAGAAAACCTTTAGAAGAACTGGTACATAAAATGTCGAAAATATATACATATAGCTCTCGGAAACTTGTGCTCTACGGATTCTACGTATTCTGTGTACTTTACGTCTAGGTTTCGGTTTGTTACGTGGTAGATTGGTAATTGATGGCGTAGGATTCGTGACTGATTGAATCTAAAGCCCAGTCCCCAACTTAGTCCATCCCAGCCCTGCTAGTCCAGCTGGATGGAGGGGCATTCATCTGGTCAATTACGCCAAATCGTGCATACATGCAATATGGCCGGACTTGCAACTTGTAAGATGTGCAGCTCCATTATACAGGCAGCTCTTGATGTGCCGTTGTCTGTGCATACACGGCACGGAGATCTCCCCAAGGTCCAACTTTTATGATCCGAAAGTGTGAAGAAAGGTACAAGATCCAAGATCCACGACGTGTATAACATCTCATACGTCTCCCCCTCGAGGATGGGTAATTAGACGATGCGCATTGTAAGCATCGTCTCGGGCGCAACTCCCAGGGCCTTGTCCGATGCCGTTTCGGGCAAAAACGCCTCGCCGACCAGCACATACTCATCCTGTGGCTGCTCGGACATGTCTCCGTGCCTTCTGGGCGCGCCGGGAGTCTTTCGCAGGACGTAGGGGAACGTGGCGCCTCTGAAGACGGCGATCGCGTCGCCCGGTTCGGCGTCTCCGGGCAGTAGGACGAGGGTTTTGTGTTTCGCGCAGATGCCCAGTCGTCGACCAACGCCGTATTTCTTCAGTGCGGCGCGAATGGGCCGCAGCGGATGCAGACTCTTCTCGGACGACGCAGGGAGGAGGTAGCTCTGAGCCAGTTTCAGATTCAGGCCGAGGTATTGCATCTGCAAACCCTCCTCGCGCTCGGAGAGGAGAGTGGTGCCACCGCTAGCGGTGTTGTCATTGTCCTGCGAGTACCGCAGATACCCGCTAGCCGTGCGGTCTGTCGAGAGAAAGTTGACCCAGAATGTGTCCCTTTGCCTACGAAATCCGTGTCTGATCCCATATTGGCTTCCACCGACGTCAATCTGTCCGGCGTCTTCTGCCTCCTCGGCATAATGTTGCCACGCTCGGTATACTTGGTCAGTCTCCCCCGTTGTGGCTCCGCGTGGGACGACGGTCTCGCACAGTGCGGTCACAGAATCGAAGATAAACCCCTTCACCAGCATTGTGTCTTGGTCGAATGCGACGCTCGGCTCCCCCACGGAGATGTAGTGGCTCCCGTCGTCGGCCTGCAAGGGGCGATACTTCCAGTCATCAACCAGGTTTGGCACCCACGACGGCAGATCGTGGCGACGTTCATGGTTCTGGCACGCGCCCAAGAGGCGCAACCCCTTTTTCTGAGGCAGGATTGAACGGGCTGCTTCCTTCAGCACTTCGGTAAGAGGAAGTCGATAGTCTGCTCGGAGCAGGTATATCTCCGGGTCTGCGAGGCCCAACATCGAATAGACCTTGTCTCTCAGGTCTGTGGCTTTGCAGTGGCGCGCATGAAGGAGCAGGTCGTGGAGTGGCAAAAACATATGTCCTGCGTACGAGGCTTTTCTCAAGGCACGGAGGCTTTGTGCCTGGTGGTAGAAACTGAAAGCAGCCTTGCTATCCGCCGTCTGAGGGGCCTCGATACCGGAATACTGACCGGGTATTTGGTAACCAAGGCTGTCGACGTACTCGATGGCCATGACAGCTTGCGACACCACATCGAAGCTGATACTGTGGTCACCCCAGCTGACTAGTGTGCGAGCTCCCAGGGATACTTCCTGACGGATCCCTACGACGAACCATCAGTTCTGAATACCATCGCAATTTTGCAAAGGGGAGGGACTTACAACTTCGTTCCCACCAAGGTTGATCCAGCATCAAGCGAAGAGCCTGCCAGTGTTTGCGCACATCCTCCTCTGAGAGCGCTGGGTATTCGACTTCCTTCTCCCCCGGACCCCGGGTGGGAGGTTGACCAATCTTGCCTACGACATCTATGGCGAGGGCGGACCCCTCGATGGCATCGCCCAGCCAGACATGTACGGACTGCGCACCCCTGTAGATGCGGCGCATCAGCGCAACTTGATTGCCTCGTTCTTCAATATCCTCTTGATTAATGCCTCGAACAAGTCAGCGGGTGCACACGAGCATTATGTGAAAGCAAAGCGACAGGGCTTACAGATCTGGTCGATCCACCAGAATGTGCTTGGAGAGGGTGTCCTCGCTGTGGCCGCTTCATTTGTGGCTCTCTCCCTCATTTGGCGCAGCGCACTCTCTAGATTCCGTGTGATGGGAAAGAGGTGACCGTTGACGACAACACGTCCGTCCATCTTGGGCTCCCCCCAGCAGTATGACAATGCGTTGTACCGCTTTGATCGCGCCGCTTGACTGTCCTCAAGACTCAGAGGCACCAGAGAACAGCGGATTTCTTCCGAGTCATCGTCTGCGTTGTGTACAGCGAGCAGACGGATCTCGGCCTTTTCGAGGCTGAGCGCTTCGTACACATACGGCGAGTCAGAGATCTGAGTGTCTGACGAGCCGTTAGGCTGGGGAGCAGAGGAAACAGGACCAGAGTCTCCAGTCAATGGATTCAGACCGGAGGGTGGTGAGATGTTCAAGTGCTTCAGTATAGTATTGACTGCGAGGTTGAGCTGGTCTAGCTGTTGTTCGATGTCCTGGAGACGATCCCAGATGGGTGCCACCATTGGGTGCTTTTCGAAGTTGGCCCCGAAACTGTGTGCCATGATGGAGCTAACAGCTAAAAGGCTGTGGATTCCGAGTAGAAAATTACGATATGATGTTCGTCAATGTCGTGGTCACCGAGAGTTGCGAGACCTGGCCAAAGCAGTGCGTGAAAGAGGGAAAGCGGGAGAACGAGAAGGACAAGGGAAGTTATATCGTTGCAGTGTCGAATCTATTTCTACCTCTTGAAACGAAAGCCTCGTATTCGTGTCAGACCTGAAGCTCCTAGCAAGCCAATGGTTCGTGTTTTTGTCTCCCTGTGCAAGCCAGAATGTGAGAAAGCGTAGGGGATGACCAGGTATATACGAGTTAGTAGGTGTCGTGCCCTCTTTAGAGCAAGAAAAAGGGGGTTTGGGCAAGGCTCGCCTAAACACGGGGTCGACTGAACAGGCGAGGCTGCCCTAAGGCCATGCCCAGACCACAGCTGCCCAGCACCAAATCCCTGCAACAGATGCACTGCCAATCGCCTCCAACAAAGCCATTGCCCCTCAGTGTTTGAACTACCGACTGAATTCGACATGGATACATCATTACAAGCCCAATGGCACCCTCGAACCAACACTGCAATCTTCGTCCGTGCCTTGCACCTCCTCAACCTCGACCTCCTCCCGGACTGGCCGCACATTTCAGAATCGACATTTCTCCCCCCTTCAAAGGCCTCTTCTAATCCAACCACACCGGGAGCCCAACCCCAGAACCGCACAAAGTCCCTAGAATGGGCACTCTACCACCTCTTCCGCGTGTATTCGCCTTCCGAAGCGGTCTCGAGACTCTCGACGTGTTTCCCCCCTACCACACCCATGCAGTCGAGGGATTTGAGGGCCGGGATCTACAAATGGCTCGCGGAACTGAAGCAGAGTGGCGTGTTGCCAAGGGAAACGGTGCTGCGGAAGACAATGCTGGATGAATGCAAAGGTGACAAGTTTGAGGAGTTGATTGCGAGGTTTGCAATGCTTGTGCTTAGGAAGACGCTGTCGCAAGATCACACCGAGGTCAGCAGCAATAGACAACAGGTCAAGCAGAAGACGCGTGATGTTGTTGGGCGCCAGCAGAAGTACTCTTCCGAGATAACGGGCAAGCACCAGGATCCAGACTCGTTGGTTCCCCTGATCCTCGCCTATCGGGTTTCTCTGCAGCACTCTCTTCGCCAGCGCCAGGACCTCAGTGATAAGGCGACGGCATATTCGCGAGCGTTGACCCAGATACGTAACGATGTCGCCAGCGGACTGGATGACAGCTCTCAAACCCCGTCCGGCCCTGATACCTCTCAAAACGCACTATCGGCAGCGGGATACAAGTCACTCAGTGAGCGAATCAATCTTGCCTTTGCAAGAGATCGTCGCTGGGCAAGACATATTCTCGAGGGTTACCCTCCTTGCTCGAAACCACCTTCTACCCGAGACCTGCCAGAATGGCCTTTTCAAGAAGCCCTGCCATCCACACTACAAACCGGGACCACCGATGCAGAAGACGACGCTGATCAACCGATTCAGCAATTGCAGTCATTGATCTCTCGACACCAGGGACGAATCTCACGACTCGCAGCCGTACGCGACTCTCTGCTCTCTGCTTCTGGATCAATAAACAGTCCAGAAAAGCCACAAATTTTGCCTCCGCTGTCTACGGCGGAGGCGGTGCCGAGCATAGGAGAGTCTCATCTTGGCCCGAGCAACTTGCCGAATCGCCCAAAGCCACGGTTCAACCGGCATCAAGATCTCGTAATGACCTAGAATTCCAGCCTCAACCCCCTAATCACATCTCACACAGCCTTCTGCCGGCCACAGCATGTATGGCTTTGTGGTTTGTCGGTCGACAAATAACAGCTCCATTCGGATGAGGGGGAGTACCCAACGATGAATGAATGGTTTCGTCAAACGGCAAGACTCGACACTATCCGACCTGGCTACTGCTGGCCTGTCGTTGGGCCGTGACGGAGAATGGCCCGCTGCGCAGCCAACACAGCGCCCATAACCATGTCGAGATTCTACCTCAGTTAAACCAATCATGGATCTGCCACGCCGGTCTACCACCAGATGTCGACTGTTCATGGCCTCAGTAAAGCCACCTTAGATGAATATGCCTACGAGACGAGAGAAGCTCTATGGTACGGCTTTCTTTATGAAATATGAAATTCGTTCAATTGGAGATTTGCCGTTAGGGGTATCATGTCTGACACTTCTCAAGAAAGGAAAAGAGATGGCACTCGAGGCAATATGAACAAGGAAAGTGGAAGGGGCAGGGACTGACCTCTCTGCCTCCATGCCTCCTGGCATAGGCACCGGATGTTGTGAGCTGCCCGTGCTCGTGTCAGTCCGTCCTCTCTGCACGGGTTCGAGATTCCTGGGCAAGATTCGTGCTCGCAACATCCTGATGTAGCCAGTCCACAATTCGGCAGGTCCATGAAGTTAGGCCGCATCAACAGCCGACACCTCACACCACTCCTCACAGTCAGACTCGTAACTACCTTGTCCCTCGTCCTCGCTCGCAATTTCAAGAGGTGAGTCGCACTACGACCAAGCTCCTGGACCAAGCGTTGTCCTCTCATCTCGACCGTCCCAGCCCCTCGACTCTTTCAACCCATCTCGCTCCAGCATTCCGTTGTCGAAGTACCCTTCATCGACATTCCTATCATTCTGGTAATCTTCAACTTCGATCCGACTCCCCAAAGCTGCCTGCCCTTCCTTAATCATGGCCTGCAACTGCATGTTGAATCGGTTCATCGTAGCATCTTGCTTGGCCTCTTTCCGACGAAGTTTCTGTTCGAATTTGCGGACTTCGGGCGACTGTTTTGGTGATGTGGTGACTGAAGCGGATGACTGCCGACGAGAGGTGGAGAGCGAGGCCCTGTGGGCGCTGGGAATACCACTCGGGCGCCTTGAAAGTTTGTCTGAGCCCTGGCGTTGGTCAATCGCAGATGCTGTGGGGATCGGGATCCATGATTGATGTTGTGTTGGACCAGCGCTGCTGGTGCTTGCGCACATAGAAACCCGTGGTGACGCATATGATGCCGACGACCTGTGTGTCGATGATCGAGGTGTCAAGCGAGGACGAGAGACAGTGTGGCTTGGGTGGCGGAGAGCAGATGATGGTCGAGAAGCATAGAGATTCGCCGTGCTCGCTCTCGATTTCTTGCGTACAGGACTAGATTCTGTCGAGGGTGACCCCGGGTTGGCCCCATCAACCACTACCCAGCTGTTGTACCGGGAGATGGACGGAGAATCTTGATCTGGGATGACACTTGGGGTTGAAGTGTTCTCCTGCCTGGGTTGAACCGACAGTCTGGACATATAGTCCTCGATAAATTCAGGACTGTCCCCAGGGAACCCCCCAGGAACCGGAGTCCGCTCTCGGGCATGTCGCACTGCGTCGTTAGAGGCATCGGCATTACGAAACACATCATTTTTGGCATCAATCTCTGTCCACATGCCAGAGGTACCAGCATCCGCAGGTCCCATATCGAACGTGTACCCACCGCCCCCACCAGCGTAGAAGCCCTTGAAGGTGGTGTTCCAGCAGAAATTGAAGACCCTGCCCGCTAAGCCACCGGTCAAAGCCCAAACTGTCTTTCCCCATGTCTTCGTTGGCGGTGCTGGGGGCGAAAGCCTCCGTTTGTTTCGTCGGCACCGATCTGGGGCTGGTGTTTGCGGGAAGTAGGATTCTGCCGGGTGATGTGATTTTTGGCTAGTATACCTGTTCGGTCTGCAGTCGGCCTCGTAGTCGAACTCATGGGCGTCTTCCTCTTTCTGCATGTCTAGCGCAGTAGGCGTGTCGAGGCCGCCTGCGATGCGGTAGTTTGTGTTGACGAGCGGGGGAGGACTGAGGGCTTCTCGCCAGGATGGATCTGATGTGGTGATGGAATCGTCATTGTAGACTGACTTTGTGTCAAGGCGCGGTCGTTTGCGGCTGTGTGGTAGTTGATCGTCTTCTGACGGATGAAGCGCGGCTCCTGTGACTAGTGGCTTGAGAGGTCGTGGTTGTGACCAGGCAGACGATGAGATGGACGTGGGATTGCTGTCGGAAGGAGGCAGAAACGGAGAGGCTTTGAACCGCGCGCAGTGGAGGGTGTATGAGCCTGGCACTGAGCCTGACGAGTCCATGACTGCAGTCATTCTTTAGTTTTATAGAGGGCGGCCTTGATAACGGTCTTTGATCACACGCGCGAGATCGTCGGCGTGATCGATTCAGCAGAGGCAAGGGACTGACTAGACGTCGCTGGAGCACTTGAGATGTGAAGATGACATTGTCAGCGCGGAGGACGATGTGAAGATGGGGAGCGCAGGTGACGAGGGTTTTCAGGCTGCGCGGGATGAGCTGGCAAAGATGCTGTCGTGGTACGAGTGCAATCAGACCTCCAGGCTCCAGCTTGTCTGGCAGAATACGATACGAGAAAACAACAGCGACTCAGAGCGACGGAGTGAGGGCAGCCAGTGAAAATTGTGGATCTGGGGTGGTTGAGCGTCATTGTTTACGCTTCACGGTTGACGGTTGGCGCGGCAATCAGCCAGTCAGTCAGTCACACGGACAGAAATGCCACCCATCCACCCAAGTGCCACCTTTGTTACGCGATTATTGCCTGCGCCATGGCCCTCTCCCAACCCTGTAGTGGTGCCGAGCACCGACACATTCATGTTGCCCAACTATCCAAGGATGGCTGCTATCAGTCTTGTAACATGCGAGTCGACCATGTCACTCTGACTAACCTGCAGTCACACATCCCTCACAACTCCCCAAAAATCACGAAATTGCCGGCTTGAAATATACCTGCAAAGTAGCCTGCGCGGATCAACACACCTCACGGGGGCCAAACGGACAAGGAAGAAAGAGACAGGGAAGTATAGAGCACTACAAGTAGAAGCAGGCCCTGCAGCTCGAGACTTATCCATCCAGGAGTTAGATAAAACATAACGCCGAGAAACATCTCAGCGGTCTCATTGACCTTGCCCATCCGATCAAGATTGAGGAGGAGCATATGCAAAGAGATGAAATCCCAACAATGACTTGTTCAAGCTCTCCAAAGCGGACAATCTTTTAACTCCGATGATCTGGTTCGATGTGAAGCACAAGGCCCTATACCTCGTACTATCAAGTAGACAACCATCGGTGTCTCAAACACGGACACGACACAGAACATCTGACTGGAAAGGTGCAGGATGGGGTGGTGTCGGATAAGAGATCCAGCGCATCCCAGTACGAGGTACGGCAGGATAAGACACTCTTGGCCTAGCGATAGCATCTCCTCGGCACCAAGGGTATACTTGTACCAAAGATGAGCCGGCCTCAAGTCCAACGAGCAGAAAATTATGCAATCAGTACAAGTATATGCAAAGCGATACCTTGAAGCAGGACTATTCAGATCCCACCGAGGACTTCGCCCTTATTGTACCGAGTTCTTGGAGTTCATGTTCCAGATGCAATTCCTAATCGATTTGTACCCAAAGCCTGTTTTGTGGGGTGACAAGGCCAGCAGCAGCGCGTGAGCTGTGGCGTGACCTGACATTGGCAAACTCGCTCCCAGCCAACGCTCTTTGAAGCCCGATCATGGCTTAACGTTCTTTGAAAAGAAAATGCCGGAATCTTCTTGTAAGGAATTTGACACCTGAATTCGCAATATAAGGTTCGTTGACACCCTCCTATGACCCGGTACTGGAACAATAGACTCGGCCTGGTCCTCGTATTTTCAATCCTTGCAGCCCTTGTCTCTATGCTCGCTGGTCGTCTTCGGATGTCGTCGTCCATTACGCGGAACACAGCCACGGCGCCTTCGCAGGTCATTGTTGTTGGTTCGGGTCTCGCAGGACTCAGTGCCTCTTCCGAGCTCGTCGCCAGGGGTGTTCCGGTACAAATTCTCGAGCGCCAGCAGAAGCCTGGCGGGAACTCGATCAAGGCGTCGAGCGGCATCAATGGCGTCCCGACCCGGTTTCAAGTCCCCGGGTCGGACACTGTGGCGGACTTTTACAACGACACGCTGAAATCCGCTGGTGCGAGCTTCAGAGCCTCCAGGACAGAGGCGAGGCAGAAGCTCATCACCGAGCTTACCGATTCCTCCGCGTCGGCGATCAACTGGCTCGTGGATGAAAAAGGGGTCGACCTGTCACATGTCGCTCTGTTGGGTGGCCATAGCCATGCGCGGACGCATCGAGGAGCAGGGCCAACTCCGCCCGGAGCCAGCATTGTCTTGACACTGTTGAAACAACTCCAGGCGAGTCCTCTCGTGACTCTCCAAACAGCCACCACCGTGACCAAAATCCTAAAGTCGGACGGGGAAGTTGTGGGCGTGCAGGTCTCTCGCGATGGCAAGCCGGAGACCCTCGAAGGCGCTGTGGTATTCACCGCTGGCGGGTTCGCTGGTGACTCGACCGGTCTACTCGCGCAATACCGACCAGACCTCGAGGGATTTCCGTCCACCAACGAAGCGCTTCCGGGTTCGCAGACTTTGCTGACTGACGTTGGTGCGCATCTGGTCGACATGGAACAAGTACAGGTGCATCCGACGGGGTTCGTGGATCCCAAGGACCCTTTCAAGCAGACAAAGTTCCTTGCGGCCGAAGCCCTCAGGGGCGAAGGCGGAATCCTTCTCCGACAGGGCAAGAGGTTCATCAATGAGCTGAGAACGAGAAAACAAGTCACAGAGGCCATCCTGGCACAGCCCCCGAAAGACTCACAGCCGACCAAGCAGTGGGATATCCAGATCTTGATGGACGAGGGCGCGTATCAGGCCGCAAAATCACACGTCGACTTTTACATGTGGAAAGGGCTGATGCGGAAGACGACCATATCCGAGCTCGACCATGCGGACGAGGCTCTCAAGACAATAAAAGAATATGCCGCCACCGTTCAAGGTACAAGTGCCGATTCTCTGGGTCGCTCGTCATTTGGACAGTGGGCGTTACAAGGTCCAAAGCCCGACTCGACCGTCTACGTCGGCTCCGTCACACCCGTCGTGCACTATACCATGGGCGGAGCAATCTTCTCGCCCGAGGCAGAAGTTCTTGACGCCGCCGGACAGCCGATCAAGGGACTCTGGGCGGCTGGAGAGTCCACGGGTGGCATCCATGGCGACAATCGGCTGGGTGGAAGCAGTCTGCTCGAGTGTGTGGTGTTTGGACGCATCGCGGGTCAGAATGCCGCAAAGTTCTTGGGTGCGTAGGACTTTGCCAACGCGCTTGTGGGTTTGACATTCGCGTCTGGGCGTGTATCTGGATTCGACCTGACAGTCAAAGAATTCATGTGCTTGATTAGACAGAGAATGCTCGGTTTCTGGTCGAGTAGCCCAGACGGTTGCCGCACCGAGTTGTGGTAGAAGACTTTATCGAGAAAATCCTTACCCAGGTAGCTACTGCAAGAAATACGAGACCAATTCATGAACACTACATCCGTACCTCATGTTTCATAGCCGAGCAAAGCGGGTCCCAAATGCTCGCACGAGTAAAGGGGGAGGAGATTCATACAAATCGAGAGGAAACGAGCACGTAATTGACACGACTTAACTGGCCGATGATTGCGACCCTGTTGCGGAATAGACAGAGATCTTGTCTTGGTTCATGAAAGTAGCTGGCTGAAGATTTTTCTGAGACATCTCGGAAGGCCGCATCGTTGAGCAGGATCAGATTCGGCCCCGGCACACAAAAGACGTTCCATCCGTCCCGTCCGGCCTAGATTCAGATTCCTGCGGTCTAGAACCAATTCAGGCCCAGTACATGCGTCACAAGTATGTACACATACTCCATATACTAGGTATCATTTGAGAATTCTCTGGAGCGGGTATCCTGTGACGGAAATCCGGGGCGCCGTCGAGACACGGTGGAGTCAAATAACGGACGGGGTCGACCGGGTGGAGCGAAGAAATAATAATAATAATAATAATAATAATAATAATAATAATAATAATAATAATAATAATAATAATAATAATAATAATAATAATAATAATAATAATAATAATAATAATAATAATAATGGAGAGTCCACGACGGGTGACTGAACCTCCGTGATCTACAGTACACACAATAGTCACAGTGGCCTGATCTCGAGGGCCCATGTCAGTGTCTTTGTTGTATATTCTTAGTCAAATGTAGATATGCACATACAAATAGTATGCAGTAATCAACTCCTCCCGGATAGAGATCTTCGGGCGTGGCTGATCCTCCAAGGAATTGAAATACATCGTCGAGTCGTGACTAAAGCTAGGGGGGCCTGTCGAAGGCGCTGGTTGTGAGTGTCCCTCTGTCTATATATGGTACCTGGTGCAGCTGAAAGATGGTCGCGCGCGGATCCAGAGTCCAGATAGCGTCGGTACTCTGGATCAGTGGGACTGGATTCAAGTGTTGTTTAGATAAGGCGTTGGGGTCCTCAAGAGGCGAAGCATGGATGCGCAGCCAGCCCCCTTCCTGGTCTTTTCTCTCTGCTTTGGGTCCCATCGACTTAGAGCCTAACTTTAGTCTGGGAGGATGTTTTTTTCTTCTTTCAGATTCTGGTTACAAGTAGACGGTGTATATTTAAGGAAGTGGTTCACCCTCTCCACCCGGGTTCCTCACTAATCGAAGGATTGAACCTGTGACTGACCGTGTTACAAGTACGAAGGTACTCCGTATATGCATGACTGTATGTAGCGTCGCTTAGTCGGGTTGGGGGCAATACCTAATTGAGCTATTCGAGTCTAGCGAGCTCATCCACAGATGGATGGATCTGATCCGCCTCGGGTCTGGAACCTTCGTTTGGCCCCCATCAGGTAAACAAAAAGAGCTTAATCTCACGGTCATCAAACGCCCATCCCAAATGACAACGCCCTTTAGGTAGAGTCCAACCTCTCAGTCAACCAATGTAGTCGTGGGAGTTTGACCACGTGCTTTTCCTCCATCTGAAGGGGGAACATCAGCATGAGTGAACAAGTGAAGACGACGAGCAAAATGAAGAGAGGGCAGTGCAGTCAGTTCCTGTGTGTAATTTGAGAAGCAGTCAGCACCGCGCTCGCTTTGTGTACCTGAAACTATGAACGAGTGTTGCGCCATGTAAAGAGTGATAACTTGATTTACTGATTGGAAGGAAACCTACTTGGTTAGTGTGTGCCGCATCGGGTAATATTCCCAATAGGGTTAGGGCAGCACGCAAAAGCTAGCTATGTATGTAATTGCAAAAGCCCCCAGGTGCTACGGAGCAAGTACGAGGCTCGATACAAGGGTCCAAGACGGCTCGACGGGTAAGGCAGACACGTGCGATGCGTTTGTACATGAGTAATCGATCAAAATACTTGTCGAACAGAAACATTCGTCTGGATCCTCCCTCGCATCCGCCCGCCACCTGGTAAACCCCACTTGCCCTCTCCCAAACGTTGAGCTAAGTATCTCCTTCCAATCCTTCCCACCCCCGCCTTGCTGACCTCCTCATCCGTGCTAGGAAAGAGTTCCAAGCTGCGGTCCCTGCGTATCAGGTGCGATAGTTCCCACAGGTGCGGGAGCGTCACCAGGTGCTGTAGTTCCGTCAGGTAGAGTAACATATCCATCGGGAGGCGCATTGCGATTGGGAGCAGTAGCTCCACCCATAGCGCCAGTTCCACCAATGGCGGGATCTGCACCAAGGGCTTCAGTTTCAGTTCCATCAGGGGGTGCGCTTCCATAAGGAGGAGCAGTTCCATCAGGGCCAGCACTGCCAGCAAGGCCAGCACTTCCACCAGGGCCGGGAGTTGCACCAAGGGTTGCGCTTCCATAAGCAGGAGTATTTCCATGAGGGCCAGCACGGCCAGCAGGAGCGGGATGGTGGTGATTTCCAACGGGAGGGGCGCCTGGAGGAATGGAGGCATCCCCAACAAGGGTGGGATCGTAGTCAGAAGCCCCGGGTTCACCAAGACCGGGCCCCCCTATCTTAGCCCGCGACTGAGGGTTTTGAAGTCCGGCACCTGGGCCAGCACTTTCGCCTGGTCCAGCACCTCCACCAGGAGCGGGATAGGGATTTCCAACAGGAGGTGCGCCTGGAGGACTGGAGGCACCCCCAGGAAGGTTGGGATCGTAATCAGAAGCCCCGGGTTCACTGACGGTTTCCCCTAGTGACCCTTGCGGCGGTGTAGGGCTTGACAAGCCTCTGGTCGTACCCGGGGCGGCAATCGGCTGACCCGTTGCAGGGCCAGTGGGTTGTTGTACTATCGACACAAAACCTGGTTTGCTCATTGCTGCATTCCCTGACTGCCCGTCGTTTACCGGTGGCCCTCCTATGCTCTGGTTCTAGAATCACAAGTTCAGCAGAATGTTCTGATGGTTCATCCCCTATGCGAAACAACCTACCGGGACTGGGATCTTGGACAATGCCATTGTAGGATCGGGGAACACGGATAGCTTCGGTGGTGCGGTCGTCATGATTTTTCCCTCGAGTGATGTCTCGGATCACAGCCTGATTGCAAATAAAATGTCGATATTCAAGGTCGTGAGTCGTGAGGGGACGGTGGTTGTGTTCGTGATGGTTTGGTTCCCTCTGATGGTCCTGCAGACGGACAATATATATCTCCTCCCCCATACATAAAGATAGAAGAGGAAGATCCATGCAGCCATGTTACCGCTGTAAGCTTACCATTAGTAACAAGGGGGGATTTTCCCTTTTGCATCTTTTGATGTCGGGTTACGGCACTATATTGCGCGCGGCCCGTCCATTCCTCGATCAAAGGAACTTGTGTTACCGTCAACTTATTCTTAGCGCAGACCAACAGTGCGAGTCAACCACCCGGTTTTTGGTTACGCACAGGAGAGAGAGAGAGAGAGGCGTGCACCTCTAAACGAGGAATATCAGCAATTAGTCAATGGTATAAGAGAACGAGCTGACTAAAGATAGAAAGCGTGGAGTAGCACTATGTAATCTGAAAAGCAGTGATTACTGTGTTACTATGCATGTACCTAAACTTATGAAAGAGTGTTGGTAAAAGAAAGGTACTGATCGATGAGGTGCCTACATATAAAGAGTAAAACTTAGACTTCCATTCCCCATACCCCCATCCCCATCCCGTACTGACCAAGAAACTGGAGTTTGGCGTGGAGGGAAAGCACCGTATGCCATGTCCAATATTCCCATCCCCTTCCCCTTCCCTTTCCCCTTCCACTCCAGCTTTTCGATTTCCTGATCCGGGCTACTGAGATGGTTCCGCTCGCGGCTGGGAAGGTCCAGCTTGCGGTTGCGGTTCCGGCGGCGTCGGTGGCAGTGGCCTGGTTGGGCGGTCCGGGCGGGGAGTTCCACTGGGTGGCGTTCGCAGTGGCGCGGTTGGGCGGTCCGGGCGGGGAGTTTCACTGGGTGTCGGTGGCACTGGCCTGGTTGGGCGGTCCGGGCGGGGAGTTCCACTGGGTGGCGTTCGCAGTGGCGCGGCCTCCGAGCGCTTGCCGGGAGTTCCGGGCCACTGCGAACGATTGCTGGGAGTTCCGGCAGGCCGCATTGACAGTGGCTTCATATCCTGTGGCGTTGGTCGTGGCTGAACATTTCCACGACTCGACAATGAGGGCGGCGGCGGCAGTTTACCAAACGGTACCACAATACCTTCTTCCGGGATGACTCTCGGCGGCGGCGGTGGCTTTCCACCATCGAGGAATGCTTGGACATATGCAGGTGTCTCCGCCCCGCCTGTCCCAGTGTTCATTTGCGGTGGCAGAGATTCCATGGAAACCTCTGTGTCTTGACGGCCAAATTCGCCAAACTCCCTAATGGCTCGGGGCGGCGGGGCGGGTACTTGAAGGTTTGTCGATGCTTGTTCAGGCTCTGGCGTCTCTAGAAGAGTTGTGAGTGATGAGGGTGTTGGAGGAGCTGCTTGCCCTGCGGCCCAACTGAATGCCTCATCCTTGCTTGTCGGCTTCTACAAGTGCAATTTAGCAAATAGGGATCTGATGTTCATTTGGACGGACAACCTACTGGGGGAGGTCTGGACCTTCTCAACGCGGCGATAGGGCTGGGGAAGAAGGATTTGTTAGACCCCCTTTGGGACATTCTGTTTCTCACGGACTTTCCAGATGACAAACTTGAAAAGATGAAACCTGAAAAGAGAAAAGTAGGTGTGAATGGGTTGATGTTGCTGCTGGTAATGATCAAGTCCCTTCTGATAGTCCCGCAGTGGACAATATATACCTAGTAGTGCTGGTAGAGACTCCGAAATAGGCACAAGATCTAATGCATTAGTAGGTAGTATTTATCTAGGCTATTCCTCTTGAAGGGCCGCCGTCTATTTTTTTCTTTCTATACGTAAGGACAGAGGAAAATGCCAAGTCAAATAAATGCCCCGTCATGGATTCCTACATAGCAGTGCCTCCTACTGTAAGCTTACGGTTAACCAGACGGAGTTTTCCCTTTTTGTATCTCTTGAATATGAGTTTCCCTATATTGCGCGCGATGGGGTATCTAAATAAAACAAACTCTATGCGGGTGCTTTAGATCCCATCTAAGCCTCGATCGAAGGAACCGGGGTTGCACGGTGCTTATGGTCAGCCGATTACCAGTGGCTACATAGTCAACGTGACGCAGCGGCTCGATCATGATCAATCGAGCGAGGAGGATCAACTAGGTCTGAACCCAAAAATTACACAAGCGGCCGTATAAGAAGATCGGTGTCTCGTATCTAGCTTGGAGCCAGACAGAACCATCATCATCAGACACACAGAACCAGTCTTTGTTTTCACAAATCACACAGTTTTCACATAACATTGTCGAAAATGGGAGACATCTCTGATCTCACTCACTCCTTGCAAGACCACAGTCTTGGAGGTATGGGAGCGAGTGGACTTGGACAACACGGAATGCCTGGTTTGCCCGGGCACGATTCACTTGGACTTGGCTCGTCGGGACATGGGCCCCTTGGAGGACTGGATATGCACGACCCCATGAGCCAGCTTGGGCACGGGCTTCCAGATGGACTGGGAGACCCCGTCTCACAGTTGAAACATCATCTCCATGATGCCGTGCAAAAATACTCACAGGACCATGACGACCAGAGTAAGTTGGTGCCTTTTTGACCCCGTCGTTGGTGCCCTCGACCCAAAAGCTGATACTCTTTTGTTCAGGCATGGATGAGAACGATCAACAGGAGAAGCTCCATCAGCACGCACAGGTCATCGTGTCCATCACGGAGCAGATCCTCGTGTATGAGCCCAATGACCCAGATGTCTGTGACCTTCACAGCTGGTTCTCGCAATGTGCAAAGGGGAAATTTCGGGGCCACCCCGAATTACCTCCCGACAACCACAAAGTCAAGCACCCGAGAGAAGACGATGAGCCGGATTCCGACGACGAAGATCCGGGCATGGACGACCCAAGCAGCTACGACGATATGGACCCGAGCAGCCACCATGATATGCCTGGCGACAATGACCCGAGCAACCACCATCATATGCCTAACCACGATGACCCAAGCAGCCATCACCACTCGAACGACCAGGACGACCCAAGTGCGGGTGAGGATCAGGGCTGCTGTGGTGATGACAACGACCAGGTTGATGGCGATGATCAGTACGATGAGGATGATTATGGACAGTACGGCCACCACAACCACCACAACCATCACAACCACCACCACGGTCATCAAGACTACAGCGGACAACACGACGATTACGGCCATGGTCATCAACAAGGCGAGGATGAGCACTACGGAGACGGTGACGGTGACGATTATGACGATGGCGAGGACTATGACGACGACGATGGAATGCAACATGAAGACGACGACGACGACCAAGGTCACGAGCACCACGGAGGTCACGGAGGTGGTCACTGGTGAACAACAAGCGTCATTCAGTGGAAACAAGGAGGGAGGGTTGGGACCGCGGCGCTTTTCGCTCGAGAACAATGCGATAACTATTTACAACAACAGCTCTCTGCGATTACTTGCACCTTGAAATTGAAATTGAAAGGGAAAAGAGCGACGGAGTTGACAAGTGGTGGTCGAACAAGTGGGCTTTTCTTTCTTCTTCTTCTTCTTCTTCTCCTTTTGGGCAAATTTAAGAGAAGAGGATATATATACATATACACACACATTATATCATCCCGGACGTGAGAAGAGGCTGCATCGTCGTCTCTAGAGTGTCTGCCAAGTGACAGCATGTCCTTCAATCCATCCCGGAGCTGGACCTCGCTGTGTCGGACTGCATCTATCTTGCTTGGTGACGTCCCCGCGAAGAAACCATCGCCTTATACCCCGTGGACACGCCGTAGCTCGGCGCCCTTCAAACTTGCCAGCCACGCGCTCTCGTGGGGAAGTAGTCCTGCGACCTAGCCTTGCTGGGCGATAGGCGTCCCGGTGTCTCTTATGATCAAACATGTACGCCTAGCCGAGATCCCGCTGTCGATTGCGTTTGCAAATGCAGCATCATACGCGTGAAGCATTTGTGCATTCCTCGTTGATGCATGATACATCCATCCGCCCCGTCTTCTCTTCACTTGATATACCAAACATCCTTCCGGTGCAACGCCAGCTCTTCTGTCCGATCACCCTGTTACGCCTTGTAATAGGCGGCAATCCATCTGCGATAGAACGAGCTCGGCTCCCGGCCATTGACACGCTGTTCTCGTCTGCCAGACGCTCGTGGGGGAGGTTCCACGGGCTCGCCATCGAGACCCGTGTTCGTGACGGCGTTTTGCTGCTTCCCCAGGTAATAATCGGGCATGAAGAGCGTCGCGGCCAAAGGCACAGTAGCCAGGACGAGGGCAGTGATGGCGATGTGGCCATTGACGTAGGCATAAGCGCGGATGGCGCCCTGCCTGATGGGATCTTCAAACTCATAGCCGGTGCGTAGGCTTCTGATGCTACCATACAGCTTCCGAAGCGTCGCCTCGTCGACCCCAGGCATGTCTCGGCGCATGCGGTCGAGCATCTCATTCGTCCAGATGGCCGACGAGATGGCACTGCCAATGGATGACCCCAAGGTTGACCATAGCGTCAGAACAGAGATCATCGTGGCCATGTCCTCATGCGGCACTGAAGCCTGACTGCCCACGCGGACGCCGACGACGTTGAAAGATCCCAAGCAGAATAGCAGCTGGGCGGCGACCAATCGAGCCGTGTCTTGTATCATCAGACCATCAGCCCGAACCAGCAGGCCATACGCGATGAGTCTCGCCCCAGCCCCGAACAACATCATGGTCTTGTATCGATGTGTCCTCCTTTGGATGAGACCCACCACAGGGCCCAGAAGACTGAGTCCCATTGTAGTGATGCCCAAGAATATCGTCCACTGGTATGTCGTCCATTCCTTGATGACGTATATATACGACGAAAAGTAGGTATTTCGAACCGACGAGGCCATCTGGTTGAAGGTGTAGATGGCGACCGCGGCTCCAAACGTCCGGTTCTTTAGAATGCGCTTCGTCATGAGCGGCTTTGGGGCCAGGTATATTTCGAAAATTATAAAGGTGATAAGTAGGACAAACCCGACTACCAGCATGGCGATCATGCTTCCGTTACCCCAGCCGCCATCGGCGTCCTCTGCTAGGGTAAAGGGCAGCAAGATGAGCGCAAACGCAAACCCGAGGATAATGAGTCCGATCATATCGATTTCGTTTAGGCCTTCGAGCATAAGCTTCATCCAGTAGATTGGGCTCGTCGAGGTTATCGACTCCTTCGAGTTTGCGATCCTCTCGCGCCTAGAAGCAGCCATTGTCACCATACCCAGTTTTTCTCCGCGCCGTTGCATCGAGTATAGCGTAAAGATGGCGGGGAGAAGTAGAACAGGTACAATGATTGTAAACATACCGAGACCCCATCGCCAGTCATCAACAAAGGCCTCGGCTATAAAACCGTTGATAGGTACAGTGACAACAAAGGGTAATGATATAACCGCACCGAAGAAACCTCGCCACTGTAGCGGTGTCAAGTCTCCAACAATAATATCACTCAATAAATCGAGGCCGGATTTCCCAACCGCGGTAAAGGAAATACCAATCGTATAGGCCGCAAAAGTACTCGAGCTCGCCGCAACGATAAAGCCGATCACGTAGAAGAAGAGGATCACGACGTAGGTTGTGGGACGAGAGGTAATGTCTGCTAGTTTACCGATAAAAGGCTTGCTAATGGCGCGGATGATCTGGCTGGCGGTACTGACGGCTGCGATTGAGGCGTGCACTCCGAATGTCGAACTGGCCATGGTCGTAAAGATGCTCGAGGTGATGCCCTGATCGAGGGCGTAGGCAAACATGGTCAGGCCAATGGAGATGCCCAGCAGCCAGAGCAGTATCTTCCCCGACCTACCCGACTGATACAGGACTTTGTTGAAAGCCTCGACCTTACTCACTCCGATTACAGGTTCACCAGTTGGCGCTTCCAAGTCGGAGGTGCAGATGCCTGTGTCTTTGGGAACGGAGGTGGACTTGGATGGATCATGAGATTTTCTGCCCGCATCAACGCTTTCTTGAGCTGATGGTGATAAAGATGCTTCCAGGTCTTTGTCGTCAGTTCCGATGGGATGCAAGTCTAAAGTTCCATTTGGCTTTGACATACTGCTGGCTGTGGGAGGACAGCTCCAAAACGTGTTTACCAGGAAAGAGTAGGTCGAAAGCGAAAAGGAGGAATGCTGGCAGAGGACTTGGCTTTAAACTGACCTGCTCGTTGCTGTAAAATTTGTGTGATAAAATATAGCTCCTGTGACCATCAAGATGGACCCTGGTCGCAGCAGCGTGACAAACACAGGGTCCTTGGCCTCGTCTTGGTACCAACCACTGAGAACAGACCGTCGCATTGTATTCCAGTCAAACCAGACAGAGAGAGGCCCATTGGAACACCGGCTTCTCCTCCACTTTCCCACGCTCGTTGTCGCATGTCGGGTAGTGTCTTGGGCGATAGCTCCGATGTCGGGCACGTGCACACAAAATGAATAGTGTGTGGAGATGAAGCAGGGATACTGAGAACGACGAGCAGCTTTACCGAGTACATTCATCACACTGGCAAGGAGCAGATGAAAAACTCTGCTCGGAGAACATGTCGACATCAGCTAGTCAGGGTTGTC